TAGTACAAATTTCAATAGTATAATGTATAACATTTTATTTATCACTTGTTTTATTGAATAAGCGCGCTAAATAATTGTAAGATATTTTTTGTATTGTAAACGTTTTTTATACGTCAGTTATGAATGATTTTCCTATAACGGTGAAAAATCTATGTAAAACAATTTTTTAATGGATAATAATAATTCCTTATAGTCAATTGTTTCATTGATCAACGTGAATAAATAAATTAACAAGATTTAGATTTCACGCAGTAAAAAATGTTGCTTCTTCAAAATATGTAGTATATGGTGTATCCGTAAATAAGGAAAAGTAACACAGTAATGGATGAAAAGACAATTTTATATCATAGAGAAGATCGGCATGTATACGAAAAAGAAAAACAGATAATGTACCGCTGATAACGAAAATGAATTTTTAAATGATCTTAAAAAATCTTTGTATGAAGAACTTGATAAAAGTATTTATATCGATAAAAGTACTTTTATGCATATCTTGCGGACAGAAAAAAAAAAAAGAAAAGAAGACAACTATAAAGTTATCACAGAAAATTCAATAATCAGATGCACATTTTATTCAAATTTGCACAATTATAATATTTACTACATAATGTGCGCGTTAATACAATGGAATATATAATCGAACCAAAGAGCATTCGCTACTCTTAATACTGATTATGGATATAAAGGAACAATTGTAATTAAAACGATAATAGAGTATTTGTATGCAAATATAAAGCACTCCTGCACTTACTTAGACTTCTTGTCCAAAATGCTTTATAGACTTGTTTTAACTTTTTTGTTTTACACTCGAAAAACGATTGCCAATTGAATTTTTAATTAAACGGGACGACCCGAGAAACATTGAATAACTAAAATAATAAAAGCATTTGTAGATATTAAAGAATAACAAGTTGTAAGTAATTTTTAAAATGACGTTGAATTGTTTGAAAGAAAAAAAAAAAGAAAATAAATTGTACTCTTGAATAGTTTAATCGATTAAAAAGTACTCATACTATACGCTTAAGGCGCAGAGTAATTCTTATCCACGTGGAATAAGATGGTGGGCAAAGGATACAACATAAGTATATAAGAAAATTATAAACAACCGCAATCTCAAATCTTCCGATGCTGCCGCCTTAACGACACGCAACAACAATTACGGAAAAAAGTTAATTATACAAAAAAAAAAAAAAAAAAAAAAAATCTCTTGTTCCGCTCATGATTTTATCATAATTTTCGTAGCATCGATATCTCATCTAAATAACTTTTATAATAAAATTTCTTATCGTTGCATACGAGTCGACTTCTTTTAATTCTTTATAATTCTAAAAATAATTATCTTTCAACGGCACGAGCACCCGATTAAATCCCACATACAAAAAAGAAAAAGAATAGCAAAAAAATTAATGAGATCGAACTAGCTCGAGTAAGTAAGAAATCAATCGGTCGATATAACTATTTATTATATTATGAAAATTTCACTTATTCATTGTCCTGTATCACACTATAACTAAATGTGAGGGGGATTTAATGGCCGAGTAGAAGAGAAGTAAAATTGAGGGAATAAACAGGAGCTCGGAGGAGCGTTAAATGAAGTAGATAGAACCGGATATCGCGCTCCGGTAGTCTTTCCCACCGAATGACGGATTTAGCATGAATCCGAGCACGGCGAATTAACGAATCTTCCTACGTTTGAAGATATAGTTGGCTTTCGAGTGTTATTAACGAGTCGCGAATATCCCTACTAACGACCGACGACTTGTGTCTGATTTGGCAAAGTCGAACCCATCGAACCCAAATCCCATAAGCGACGCATCCAAGAATGTATTTTCAATCGCATTATTTTCTGATAGAGCCGGCAAATAACGACGATTATCCGACATTGAATATTAAAGACTGAAGGAATTCACCCAAGAAGATAAAAAAGCTGATTAGTCAGAAATGATTGACTAACCGATGGTTTGGGACGCTGCTTTTCTCACTATTTAGGTGTGCGTGCTTTCCCTTACCTCGCTATTCTCGCCATTTACCATTGTAATGTAATTAATTACTCTTACGCTCTTTATCTCACGCACGGCAAATGTATGTGCCTACTAAGATTTTTTCGTACGGCAATTACCATGTGACGTGATACAATTGACAGGAAGGGAAATTGATGAATATATTACATTAGCATAAGTAAACGGAAACATATTCTGACAAACTTTTATGTTATTAAGCGATAATAGAAAATAATAACCCTATGGATACATTAAATTTTTGTAAGAGAAATATCCTTCGTTATGTTCGCTATCAGAAATCATCTAGTAATACTAATACTACTAGTACTGATGATAATAATAATAATAATAATAATAATAATAATAATAATAATAATAATAATAATAATGAATATAATCTACCTCACAGACTGAGACAATTAAACTAATATTTAAATTAAATAAAAAATATAATAATAATAAAACTAATAAAAATTACAATACTTTTATAAGTAATGATAATTATAAAATTAGAACAAATTTTTTTATAATTCTATGAAATACGTTTAGCCACTTTGAAATTGTAAATGTATAAGATTGTGAGACATAGATAGATAGATCCATCTTTCAAATAAAAGGAAAATTTCATGCTTTTTTACATAAATATATTTTAGACATTCTAACGAGTGAAAAACATTACCAAAGATTGTTTGTTCAAGATTTATTCTTTTATTTCTTAAAAATAGATACCAAATATAATTAAAAGACCATTGCAATTAAAAATGTGTAAACTATAGTATCTATATGTAATATTAAAATCTTTTTATTATTTTACAATACAGATGAAACGACATTTTTATATAAACAGTTTTAATAATGTGCATGAGTAATTATTAAGAAAATTTTACTCATAATCCCCAAAAGTTTCTAATTATTCATTAATTTATTTTTGAAAAATTATAAAATTTATTAGCAAAAGGTGACGAATATCATTTTAAATTTTACTGTTTAAACTTCTTACTTATTAAAACATTAAGTTACTATTTAATTTATTTTAAAGGATAATTTCTAAACTATTTATTGTTAAGAATTATTTAACTAATAGCCTAACTATTTGTTATAACATACTTTTGCTAATATGTAATATTAATTTAAATTAATATAATTATAAAATGTATTATTAATTAAATTAACAAAAGTAAATTTTATATCCAAAATAAATATATTATTAGTATTTAAAATTTATACAAATAATTCAGACATTTTTCCGATGATATGTGTGTGTGTGTGTGTGTGTGTGTGTGTGTGTGTGTGTGTGTGTATGTGTTATGAGAACATTTTTCGTCATAATTGTTAAGATTAATATGGAAAAACATAACGTGAATCTAATAACGAGTTTTGCAGCAAAAACTGCAACATCTATAAAGTAGTATCTAATCGCTTTTAACAAGGTGATTTGTTTGAAAATTTTAGCTATTTATTAATTTCAATGTTCTTCATATACTGAAGTTTTAAAATAATTTTAAATATATTTTTAAAAAATAAAGCAAACAGATAAAATCAAACAATTTCATGAATTTCACAGTTCACGTCGTGAAATTATAGGAATTGTCAACCATTCTTTATGCTTCTTGAATTATTTGATTGCATCTTGTCGAGTAAATCTTAAAGAATATTATATTCTTTATAGAAATCTCATCAATTAAAGATAATTATTTCATAAATAAAAGTAAAAAAAATGTAAGAGTACTATTATTTCATAAATAATAGTAGATTTTTTTAAGATACAATTTGTAAAATAATTTTTTTTTTTTTTTTGCTTTAAATAAAATGCAGAAGAAACTTTTATTATATCTGCATTGTATAGTCAATTAAATATTAATATAATAGTCGATGTGTATGAGTATATGGTATGCATAAATGTACAACTTCGGGTAAAAAGAGAGAAGAAACATGAATTTCAAACGAAATTGTATTAATTCAAATTGATTTATCTAATGGGAAATTCCATTTATAACTTTCTCGTATCAAACAAATTTTTTAGTAAGAATATATATATATATATATATATATATATTTTTTTTTTTTTTTTTTTTTTTGATATTTCAATAATATTTTTGTTATCAATTATAAATAAAACATTTAGGTTCTATATTTAAAAATTCTCTAAAAGTAAAATAAATTCTGTTTTGGAATTTGAATTAAATACAATTAAAAAGAAATTTGAGTAATAATTATTGAGTAAATATTATAAATGAATTATATTCATATATCATAGCGAGACACTTACCATACTAAGCCAAAATTCTTGCATAAGAAAATTTTTGCAGATGCATCATGCATCATAGTATCTAAAAATATGAGATATACATGATAGAAAATTAAAATTTCAATTTCATGGAAAAACATGAATAATACAATATTGTTTTGTTTAATAGTATTGAAATTAATTAATTCATGCTCGGGTAGCAGTTATTTTATATTGCATAAATGCAAATTTGTCATTCTTATTCAAGAGCGTAAAACACAAAAGTCTTAGAATTAAATTTTCTTCGAAACTGCACCTTATATATATATATATATATATATATATACATATATAATATTAGGCAATTATCTACAATACTTATAAATACTTAAATATACATTTATTTTAGCTGAAGATTCATCGTAATTATTATTAGAAATTTCTTACATTACTTACTCATAATTCTTAACACAATAGAAATAGTATAAATTAATGATAACAATTGATATAAAATTTTGTTTATCAAACTATTGAGATTTATAATATGCTCGATAATATACTCGATAATAATTCTCACGTTGTACACAATAATTAGCTTGTACTCTTATTCACTTTACATTATAAAATTCTTTAGAATCAAGTCCATAAAGAGGAAATTGACGATCCTTTGGCCATAATTTAAATGCATTTTTTACGCCCGGATTTCATACAATTATAATTATTGTAAATTTATTACGTTTGACGGGTAGGGAAGCTGACGTCACGTAATAAACTCTTCACGCGAGTGACAATAAGATGTGTGGTGGCAGTGAAGGTGGGAAGCTGCAAACGATTGTACGAAATGCCGAACTTGAAGTCGATCCGTGTTAATTGATTAGATTCTGTAGAATTCAGAAGGAAGTGGGAAAGTATAAACTATAAAAACTGGTATAAAATCTTAATCGTGACGACTGGAGGGGTTAAGATTGTTTTTATTAGTTAGCAGCTCAGCTCTTGCATGTAAATCTTCGTTGTAAAGTTTTGTTATATTGCAATTCTTAGTCATTGGTACACAAACATTAGTAAAATTTTCGCCGAATAACGAGTTATGTAGTAAGTGGGTACGATGGTCGCAGATATAGCATCTGGTATGACTGTCTCTATCTATCATGAACGTCAGGTAATTACTATTGGCTTTGCTGTACTTAAATTTAAATTACTTAATGCTTTATGGTGTTACTGTATTTTTATGATGGTTTTAATACAGAGATTCATATATTCTATAATGAATAGAAAATCTGTTTTTATGTAATAATAATTTTAGTGATAAAAGGAAATTTATAATAGACATGTGTTCATAAGCTAATCTCTTCGTAGAGATAATCTTCTATTATCATTATTCATTTATATCTAGAATTTTATGCTACAGTCGATTAAATCAATTAGACTTGATCTGATAAAATATTTATACTAAAAAGTTATTATAATAGATTATAGTAGAAATATGGATAATAACATGTAGATGTACATGGAACATATAAGTGCATTTAATGATTTGATGAATTAAATTTATAATATAATCAAATACAAATTGAAAATATTCTCTATGTATATATAATAAAGCCTTTTTTTTCCCCTTTAATATTAAGTTTTTATGTTTTCTAATGTACATTCTATATAAACAATTTAAACAAAAATTTACTTCTACTTTCAAGATAAAAGAACTTTGTGCGTTACATGCACTAAATAACTTATTTCAAGAAAGGGGATTTAGTAAACAGGAATTAGATCAAATTTGCTATAATTTGAGTCCCGATGTCTGGATAAATCCGCACAAGTCGCTGCTCGGTTGCGGTAATTATGATATAAATGTTATTATGACGGCGTTACAAAGAAGAGGCTGCGAAGCAGTTTGGTTTGACAAACGAAGGTAAAACAGTTTTTGTACAATGATCATTTATTTTTAGTAGTTCTCAAGTAAATAAAATAAATATTTTGTAATAATATATTTAAATAGGGATACCAATTGTTTATACCTTAATAATATCGAAGGCTTTATCTTGAATGTACCAACTGAATATAAATTAGGTTTTGTGCTTTTACCATTGAAACGACGTCATTGGATTGCATTAAAAAGGATCGACGGTGCCTTTTATAATTTGGATTCCAAGCTAGATACTCCTCAACTAATTGGAACGGTAAATAAAATAATTTTACTTATTTGTTAAGAAATCATTAAGATATACGTAAGATTAATCCAATTACTAGGATAGCGATATACTGGCTTACTTAAAAGAACAAATGGAGAGTAAAGAAAAAGAACTTTTTCTTGTCGTAACTCAGGAAGTGGAAAATAATCAAGGTTGGCTAATAGAGTCGACTGAGAAAAATTCAAATGAAAAAACTGAAACGTTGAATGAATTTATTAATGACAACCAAGTCCAAAATGCCAATATTGACTTGAATTTAAACAATTCTAACGATACAATGAATGAAAATGGTAACTTTTGCAATAACCAAAGTTCTAGATAGTCTAAGTGTAACTAAATCCATTTATACTATCATTTTGATGTTCATTATAATACTGCATATTCAAATATGCATTAGAAATTTAAAAATATCATAAATACCAAAAGCAATCTATTTATGAATTTTAAAATTTTAATGTTTGAAAAGCTGTCTAAAGTCTTTATATGAATATTAACTAATTAACATATTAATTAAATTACTTTATCCATATAATGTGTAATATTATCATCTTACCAGAAGAAACAAATATTCGATACGTAATGAGAATGGTGTTCTTATAAAAGATAATTTGCATATCTAACATAAGTCATGATATAAATGAAGTTTATAAATGTTTTGACAAATTACGTTTTATATATGCGTATAATTATTTAAACTCTTAATTATTTAAGAATGTTATTTATTGATTAATATATACGGTAATAGTTTTTAAATTACATAAAACTTGCAATATATTACAATGTGATATTTAGTACAATATGCTAAGGACATTTATTTAATATTTACAAATTTCAATACTTTTATAAATGTAATTATCTTAATGTTCAACAAAAAACTTTTTGTTAAATTAGTAAAGGAAAACAAAATTCGTAATACAATTTATTTATAATGTATTGTGCATTCGTTAACATATGTTTTTCATAAAGAATAAATTCTAATTTGAAACGAATGAATAAAAAATTTACATTACATTTTTTACAAAAGTAAAATTAAGAGTATAATATATAATTAAGAGTATATTGTATCTCTTCGTTAGGATCTAAAACTTTTAAGTGATGTTGAAGACATTTTAATATACTAAAATATCTGTAATAGTCGATATTCATTTTAATAGCAGTCGTATGTATGTATAAACTAAAGGACTAGATGTTCAAGTACATTACAATGTACAAATTTATTCAGAGACAATATCTTGAACTTTCAAAAAGGTCAATTTTACTATTTGAATATACCCTCTATAATTAGTAATGAATTTCATTATAAATGATTAAGAAATTATGGTGAGCAAGCGTAAAATCCGTTAAATTATTCAAATAAACCATTTAAATATATTATTGTAATGTGTAGGGAAAAAAATTAAGAGAAATTGTAATAGTATTATTTGGCAGAGTTCATACTATTGTTTAGAAATGATTTCTTTATGATACATAAATACTGTAGTAAAATATTTTCATACTGTCAAATTCACGAATGCAACAGTTCGTTTTCCTAATTTACAAACAAAAAACTTTTCTCTGTATCAATGTTATTCTTATTTATTATTACAAAAAAAAAAAAAAAAAATAAAAAAAAAAATACGAATTACAGTTAAGTAATATTATTATTATTATGGATATTATAAATTTATCATTAATTAAATACATGAAATGTAAATTAACGAACAATTGAACGAACTGAGGCGATAATGTCAAGCGTTATTCATGCATAAGTATTTTTTATCCGGATCAAAGCATCTTTACGATAAATATAACTATATAGTGGAATAAGCTTTAAAAATAAATACTTTTTCTTTAAGGATTTGTTTTAAAATTATGCTTTTCAATGTGTGCGATGAATTAAAAAAAATCCTTATGCAAACTATTTACGTTAAAACATTGAATGTTTCATCAACGGAAGCTACATTAATTTATTTCACAATTTTACAAAATTCTTCAAAATATTGATTTTTGCCATGTTAGAATGTACTTCATAAATATAAGTTATTATTGTGATATATATTATTTTCATACAAATTAATATTTATTTGTAAATACTTTTATTAAGAATATACATCGTGAAATATATTTACAGATCTAATATTCATTATTACCCAAAATATTTATACCAATTTCCTTTTTTTAAATACATATTTACAGACTGAAAGTATCTTAAATTAATAATAATCACTGTGACAGTGATTACCACTTTATAGAAATTGCAGTATTCATCTTTTCTATTTCATGGTACTCAGTTTGAAGGAAGGCTGAAGCTTTTTCAGAATTTTCTCCTTCAAGCCAAACATCATACAAATGCTTAAGTAACATATTCTGTTTAGGATCACTTTTTGGAAGTTTGTGATATTCAATTTCAAGTTTTGAAGCTAATTCCCGAGGTTGCATACCATCTTGTGATCTTATTTGAGCTCCACCATTCAAACAACCTAAGATAATTAAATTAGAAATAGAATTTTATATTATAATATTAATTTAATGGCTTACTAATTCAACATAATTAAAAAAAAAAAGAAAAAAGAAAAAAAAGCGTAAAGTACTTATGATAAATATAAAAACATTATATTTACCCATTGGACATGCCATTACTTCGACATAATCATAAGGACTTTTTCCACGTTTTAATTTTTGAACAAGATTTTGTATATTTCTGAAGCCATTAGCAATGGCAAATCTGAGAATGACTTTACCATTTCTTTCTAAAACTGCTTCTTGAAAATCTGGATTTTTTAAGCTCTTATATTCTAATTTAGCATCACTTTCTTCAAACAAATGCTTTGCTGCGTAATGAAATATGAAGTCTGCATATCCACCTGAACCAGAGCCTTGATGACCTAACAAAACATCGGTCAGCTGCTCAGGCACTTGAAAAGGTTTTTCGATCTCTCCTTTATCAAAATCTTCGAGATTTTTCTCTTGTTGCGTTAACATCTGTTCCAATTCAACTATAAAAATATAAATGAATAGCTAATAAAGAATTACGGTTTTATTACATTAACACCCGTTGGAGTAATTATTATGGTACTACATACTTGCAGTAATGACACAATCAACGTCTCTAGTTTTCTTAAGGCTATTATAAAAATCTTCCCTTGAAGCTTCAAGTTTCTTATCGTAACAGGGCATAAGTGTTATGTGATAGACTTGCTCCGGAGATAAACCTTTACTACTAGCAAGATGATATTTAACTAGAGATCCCATAATTTGTTGCGGTGATTTTGTTTTACTTAAATAAGGGAGTATAAAATTTCCATGCGTTTTTTCAGCATAACAAACCCATCCTAGAAAGTATTAAAGAATTAAGAATGAAGGATAAACGAAAGCTATAAACATTCACTTAAAAATGTTGTTTAACGGCAAACCTGGGCAAGAGCACGCAAGCATAGGCAGTTTATTATTTAAGCCCTCTTTGGAACATTTATATCTTTCAACAAATTCTTTTGCAGACTCGAGCAATGAAAAATCATCGGCTACGCTCATATCCAAAACCATATCAGCACCCATGCTTTTGAAGAAACCACTTAATTTTAACGCCGCATCTTTTGCTGTTAATTTATACCTTTCTGCTAAAGAGAGTATAGGTTGTATCGATAAACTAACTACAATAAATTTTACATTATCTTTACTATGCTGTAAATGTAATAGTTAATTCGTAAATTATTAATACTATATGTAAGACAATAATGAATGAAAATTGATTATGATTTCAGTAACCTGTAAATTTTCTATTTTCTCTTGAAATACTTTCAATAGTTCCTCTTGACTTTGTTGCGTTACAAGAACGCTTTCCGCAGAAGTAATACAGCCACTACAAGCCAGACAATCGGATAACGTAATTTCTACTTTTTGTAATTTAGTTAAAGGACCATCCTAAAAAATTGAAAATAATGGTCACTCTATACGATAATAAACTTCTTAGTTTATACAAAAATGCACATAAAAATTTCCTATATAAGAAAATATATAAATACTTGGGTCATTTCTACATAAGATCCATCATCTTCAACTTTAATCTTGGATCCTACTTTATTTTTAATTTTCTGAATTTCTACGGGCTTAATGCATTCCTGCAAATAAAAACGATTATCTAACTATTATAACTGTAACAAAGTCGAATCATACTTAATATTTTCTAACCTGCGACGGTATAATAAAATCATCTAAATTTGTCAATTGTAATGCCCCGCTAAATCTAGATGCCATGTTTACCAATAAAATGAATAATTAATTTTTTAAATAAGAAATGAACATAAACTTATTATTGTTTTCTATTATAAGCTATTAAACGTCGCATTTAATATTATATTACTTTATTTCTTTTACTATCGTGTAAACATCATTGCGTATTATTATTATTGTTTGAATAGTTGGTAAATATTTATTTATACCATGTAAATACAAATATATACAAATTAATAATTATATTTTATCGTACAAAAGTTTGTTATTGTTCTTTAATACTTGTTAGCGACTTAATAATTATATTGACTCGTTAAGCTGTAGAGTGGAAGGGATTGCGCAGTAACGTAGTTATTACGAAAAAATCCCGCTCTTATGTTCTTTTTTATATTTGATTACTGACCAACGCATTTAATTATAACGGAAAAATAATTGATATTCATATTTTTAAAAGAGCAATAAATGTATTTTAATAAACAATTAATCTATTCGCGTAAATGCCTGTGTGTACTTGATCGTGTACGTATTGTGCGGCAGCCGCATCAATCGTTTAAAAAAGTGTTAATTAATTGTTTATTTCAATACTTCAGTTAGAATACATTAATCATAATTTTAATCATTACTATTAACTGAAAATTATACTGTTATATATTACATATTAGATTAAATATATTTACTAAACCATTTTGCGTATTTATACAAAATTCAATATTAAAAGAATATTATAAGAAATATGCACATTATTATATATACGAGTTATTGAAGATTTTAAAATGTAACGTATTTAAATTAAAAGGAAAAAAAAAAAGGAACATCATTAAACTAATTTTAATAATTCAATAATTAATAAATAGTTTTATTCGAATATTCATCATTTCGTGTTTTATCATTCTTTTTATTCATCATAATTAATATGCAAATGAGATATAGATGACTATTGTTGTTTCATTGGGTGTTTTTATTTAAAAAAAAAAAAAAAAAAAAAAAAAAAAAATTTATTTTTTACTATATTCTCCGTGAAAGTAATTAGTCGTAATATCGAGATTACATTGATGATCGATAATAGTCTCTTTACTCTTATAATATATTATATTCAGAGTATATTATTTAAAAATAAAAAAAATATCCTATCGTATAATTTAAATTTATTTTACAATTTTTTATTTAATATTCGTACTATATTTTTAATGTGAAATTTTTATAAATTTAACAGATGTTTCATTTATGAAGAATAATTGTCTCCTTCTTATTTATACATAAATTATTGATAATAACAATATATTATTTATTCATAAAATGTAAGCCTTTGTATTATAAATTTATTTTACATTATAAAAATTTTAAAATCTTTTATATTAAATACATTTGTTATTATAATTGAACATTAGTAAAAAACTTTTCTTTGATTTTTTTTTTTTTTTTTTTTTTTTTTTTTTTTTATCAAAATACACTTATACTTACAAGTAAGATATATTGTAAAATGAAGCATTTTTTAGATAGATTTATGTAAAATTTCTACAGTTGTTTTATAATAATGAAAATATTTTATAAGAGAAGAATTTTGCGGATGAATGGATTGATTCGAAGTATTTTGAAATGTGATTAGAGAAAAAGTTGTGAAACGTATAAAATTCACACTTTCTTCGGAATATTGTGAGATTTTATATACATATATCATTGATATAAGATTTATAGATATTAATTTATTAGAATAATATAATATAAGTAAATAAGTATAAACAAAATGTGTACTACGTTCGAATTTTAATTTTAATTTTAATTTTAATTGCAATTTATCCACCAATTTAAGGGTGAATATTGTGAAATATTTTGAAGAATAAGCTTTAATTAATTTTGTTTTGAAACTATGTGTATGTCATTGTGACATATCTTATTTATAAAATTGATAAATTTACACAACTTTTTAATATCATGTGCATAATATATATTTAAAAAATATTAAATGCATAATAAATTGCATAATATATAAGATTTCAAAATATTTTATTTTTTTTTTTTATATTTTCAGAGGATCGATATTGACGTTGTAAATAATATGCAAATTGAATAATAAGAATAAACTTTATACTTTAATGTGGATTAATCGAGGAGTAGTTTGTTGATATATTTTCATACAATTATAAAGACTCTTCTATTTATATATAATCGTCTCTCATAATAATAAAGCTTAAACACGACACGACGAATGACGTACAATGAATAATTAACGAATCCGTTATTCTACACTATTCTCGAGCAAGAAGCGGCCGAGAAATATTCGCCAGTTAACGTTTCGTGAGAACCAAGGAATAAGGATCTGCGTATGCGTAATCGAATCCAGGAAATACGAGAGCAAGTCCAATTAACAATGTAGATGACTATAATAATTTTGCTGCATCGCCAATTACTTTTCTCAATCGTATTACGCGATATTAGGCTTTTATAACAATACAATATTAATGTATCTTAATCTTTGACGTCATACTTATGCTAAGACACGAGTAAGGAATATCACGCTAACAACATAAATAGAATAAAACAAAAACATCTCTAATTCAGTCCAACCTTGCGATGATTTTAAGCCCAAATATCGCGTTTGGAGATTTGAATACAATTTTAAATATTAGATTTTTTTTTTTTTTTTGTTTACCTCAGTAAACAAGATCGTGTTTCAGTATATCAATGTTTCCCGAGCTATGCAACGCGAAAATACGAGAAAATACGAATAATGGAACTTGCTCGTCAATCGTCGAAGTTAAGTGACGAGTTTCGATATCCAGCGATAAAACATTCGATACATCTAACCCGCACTGCGAGCACAAAGTGCTGATCATCGTCGCCCACATGACTCCACTACCCCTAACAACAATTCGTCCCGACGAGAGACGCGTAATTCGTGGAAGCCAACAAAAGCATCGAACCCCCAAACTCACTGCCACCCCGATAAGGGCACGGCCGGCGCCTCGCATCCCCCGTATCAGCCCCGTCATCAATTCGCCACCCCTCGGATACCGATACACCCTCTCACCCCGCCATGGTGGCGGCCGCTATGAGTGGGTGGCGCGCGCGGCGCCTGCGGACGGGCAACCGCTAGGTCAACCTAGTGGGATTATTCCTGACTGGCGGGTCCACGAGGAGAGGAGTCCCCGAGGCGACCATGGCCGAGGTGAAGAAGGACGACGTAATCAAGATTCTGCACACGTATCCTCTCTGCCGGGTGAGTCCCATTTACTGTTTGACAAAGTTCAGAGAGAGAGAGAGAGAGAGGGGGGGGGGAGAGTCCTCGAGGATGCGCTTACACCACTGAGTCGAGTGCGCGCGAGTCGTACGTCCGGCGTGTGTCCTGTCTCGGGTGTGTTTTAACGTCGAGGTGTTTCACTTCGGGTTGACGAGCATTAACGGGCATCGATGGACATGGCGCGCGAACTTGGTCCTTAACGCGACGTCCTTACCTGTTCCGGTGGTTGTGGCGACGTGACAAGTCATCGGTTAACCGCCCTATCGATTCAATAAATAGACGCGCTTTCCTCATTGACGGAGAGATGCACTTTGGGAATTAAATTTTGATTGGAGATGCGCGTAGGATGCGTAAGGTAGCGAGCGTAATGATTGCGACGATTAGAGTCGATGATGAGGGTACGCGATTAGGGATATGAAAAAAAAAAAAAAAAAAAAGGAAATGGTAAATTGATTTGTAATTGCGTTAGAGCGTATCGGGCGGATGCGAATTATTTTTTGTTTTTTTTTTCGTTTTTATCCATTTTATCCATTATAGTCACGTGCATTTGTTTAATCGATACGAATGGCAATTATGTGAGAAGCTACTCGACCACCTGCCGCGCCATAATTATTATCAAAATAAATATGGAATTTTAAGCATAATAAGAATAATCATTCTTATGTGTTGTATTACAATCGAACGATCAGTTGTATTTATTTTGTTCTTGTTTTTTTTTTTTTTTTTGTTTTGTTTTGTTTTTATCTTCAATTAACAATTTAACTAACTTTGAAAATGATAAAGCTAATGAAATCAAGGGATTAAATAGGATCGAAATAGTGGCACGTAAACATTACAATCGATCTGATTTTATTTAAATCATCGTTTATTCAATCGTGTTGTTTTATAGAATGTTTAATTAATTAGTATTTCACGGAATAGTCATTGATGTTGTAAGAAGTTTGGATACGTTACTATAGAATAATTGATCGAATAATGTATCGTTAAATTTTCTTCTGTAATTTTTAGCTACAAATTGTATCCAATTCGATTAAAAGATTATCCCTTTCACAATATAATTATGTGTAATTTTAGATCTGCTTAGAAACATTAATGAATTAACATAATTTTAAGGTGCAATAATGTTTTGGAATATTATAAATATAGAATAATAAGAATTTAAATTACAAATACTTTTCATTTTATTTGAGAGCGTTAAAGTAACAATAGTCAGCGAATTTATAAATAAATTATCGAATAATATTAGTAAAAAGACGGCTTTTAATCTGTATGAGCAGAGTTAATAGCAAAGCTAAAACTTTATACTTTAACATTAAAAGAATTTTATTTGGAACAAGACACTATAACATTTGCAAATTAATCGTTGAATTTTTACAACGAAAGTTACAATGACGTTTAATGTTATAAAATTATCAAACTGTAAAAGTAAAATTGTCGAAGAATTAATCTAAAACGATCGAATACATATTCTCAAATTATAATAATATTGAAAATTTTATTATTTTGTAATTATTGAAATAATAAGAAATCTTGTATGTATGATTTCCAGAAGTGAAAAGTTAAGAAACTATATTATTATTTAATAATATATCGTTTTGGATGATTTTTATTATTTTTCAATTTGAAATGAAAAACAAATAAAGTTTGTCGTTGCGTGAGAATCATAATAGTTATATGATGAACAAAAATCAAATCGAATACTATGGATATAAATCATATGATTATTATATCGACTCGATCATTTTATATTGGCCATGTTTTGCATATTTACATTTCATATATAAAATTCACTTAAAATGGACAAAAAAAAAAAAAAAAAAAAAAAAAAAAAAAAAAAAAAGCGTTCATGGTTCTGATGATTACAAAAAAAATGTCGAACTGTCGAATGTGTTGCTTGTGTAGATAAAATATCGATTACAATAATGGGAAATTAATTCTAATAAAGTAACGCATATATATATATATATATTTTTAAACTGCAGAAATGCGACATGACGGACGAGATGAAGCAGGAAGCGATGGAGCTTTGCGTAACGGCAGCGGAAAAATACGCGGACAACTACGAATCCGTCTCCCGCATGATCAAGGAGACGATGGATAAGAGATTCGGCGCCTCCTGGCACACCGTCGTCGGCGAAGGCTACGGTTTCGAGATAACCTATCAACTCAAGCACCTCCTTTACATGTACTGCGCTGGCAATCTTGCCATCTGCATATGGAAATCCGCGTAAGCGGAACAACCTGACCAACTGGTATATTTCAATAAGCCGAAAATTGACAAACCTATCAGTATTGAGACGATAACTTTTTATTCGCGTAACGGATATTTCTATATTGTTATTGTTTGCATTTGAATATTTTTTTTTATCCTGTTAATGATTACGCATACTAATATGACAAGAATAGCTTTTAAGAAATACGTAGATTCGTATGAAACTAAAACCAAATTTGATGGTTTTTAACTTTATAACAAGGCCTTGACATTCTCTATATAATGCAACTTTTAAAATAGATATAAAAAAAAAAAAAAAAAAAAAAAAAAAAAAAAAAAACAACGAGAAAGTAAGGGGAGAAGTAGCGATGATATAAATAGAGCGATGACTTTAATTCTATATGTTCGTCTCAAGTTTTGATTTCAGGAGGAATATTAAAAATTCAAATGAATATTTTGCTTCGGTGCTCCTACGGCTAAATGTCCATATAGTTTTGCATTAATAATTTTTCAATCTGATGGGCGAGTTTTTTGTTCAGATTTTTTATGTCACCATTGACGATATGACAAGAATATTAATGTAATTCCATATGAATGATTATAGATAAAAATCCATCTCCGTTTACATTGCATTCGGCAATTACTGAATACTCGTTACTTAAACTAATTGATATTTAAATATTCAAAATCTTGGTGACAATGTTTGTTTGAGTAGAAAAATTAATAATTAATTAAACAATATAATAGTAAAAATGGCACAGATACGCGTATATCGTTGAAAAATAATAATCACATATTAACGTGAAACGAGATTATTTTATACCTATCTTGTAAAGTAAATAGTTAAATCGTTATTACCAACTGTTAAACACACTATTATATAGTATTATCGATTATTATATTGCTAAAACAATGATTTATTTATTTATTTATTTATTTGCTCCGAATTGAAGAATTATAAACGATACGTTTTAAAGTTATGTGCTATTCATAATTGCAACTTACTGTCAAATATCTCAAATAATCTCAAATAGTCATTTGATTCGCTACAATAATAGTATTAAAAGATGAATTAAATAATAATTTTGAAAATAATTATAATAATTCAATAACAAAATGTAAATCTTTCATTTAATTTTAATATTCGCAAATATGTTTGCAAAAGAGTTCCGTTTCGAAGATTGAAAATTACGCTAATAATTTTTTTAAAATAACCTTCTTTTATTTATGATAAATAAAAATGAACGATACAACATTTTACTACACAGATTAAATAATGATAAAAACATATAAAAAGAAGAAGAAAAAGAGGTAAATTATAGTAATTACCAAATCGTTCGGACAAATAAAAAAAAAAAAAAATGAATGCCTTAATAAAATAAATTATTTCAAGTGGACTGAAGAAAAAATAGGAGATAAAATTTTTTTTTTTTTTTTAAATTTAGAAGGTATAAACAATTTAAGAGATAAACGAATCTCAAATGGATCTTTTTTTTATGTACAAGTAAGCATAACTTGTATCATTAAACTCAGTAACGATTATTCTCCTTATTCTTAAATGATACATTGAGGGGAACCCAACGATATAACATATTGTCAATAAAATTATTAAAAACTTTCGGGAAATTTCATGTAACATAAAAATCTATATGAAATCTATATGAAACAACAATAATTCAACAACTAAACGAGTGCATAAAGCTAATCGTACAAAGAGTGTGTGTATATAAACATAATTATTCAATAAATCTCGTATTTCATACACCATTTTTGTTTGTTTGTTTTATTTTTGTTTTTCTGCTTTATCTCATGACAATAAGAACGCTTAATAATATCTTCAACCGAAGCTGCTGACTGTACGCCAGATGAGCGCCGCGACATTCCCGTTTGTGTACATAAGCAACATTGACTTTTCCTGATACGTGACGCAGAAGCTGTAGGCCTCGCCGATGATGACGTTGAAAGGTGCGCCGAATTTCTTGTCCAAGTTATCTTTAACCATGCGCGCGGCGGTCTCGTAACTGTCCGCGTATTTCTCCACTGCGGTCACTGTCACTTCCATAGCTTCATACTTCAAATCATCTTGCATGTCAGTTTTCTAACGCCAATGATAATTAATACATACTTTTATCTGGATGAGCTGGACTATTCATACATTACATTACATTACATTCAAATGCAATTAATAATTAGTAATCGTTGCCGAAAAATTCAAAGTACCATTATTAGTTGGAATTATTTATTTATTTATTTAATTTTGTTATCAAGTTGAAATGGTATGTAGCAAATTAGAAATAAATAGTTGCGTTAATATTAATGGAGGCCCATAAGACCCGAGGAAATTAAATAATCCCTACATTGTTATTAAAATAATCATAAAAAAAAAAAAAGTTTTATTTTAAACAATTTTTTGTCCCTCGCTTACCTTACAGTAAGCGTAAGTGAACATATTTTCTGTCTCTTCGCGCCCTTCATTATTTGCCATACTTGCCTCTTGATGAAATTAATGCAACAAATATGATCGTCGGTTAGATAATAAAATTATTTTAATAGCTAGTTATTTCGAAAATTGGGATACTCGAAAAATCAATTTTTAGGTTACTGTAAAACCATCGTTCATTTGTTTATAATTAAAATAAATAAAATTAAATAAACGCCATATATTGAAGAAATTTTTTTTTATTTTTTTTTTTTTTTTTTTTTTTATTGTCATAATATACTGTATATTATTTTGTACGTACAAGTACATATAAGTGTGAGTAAAACGAATGTAAATACATAAAACGATTGAAATTATAACTAAGGTTTGTTTAATTTGGTATTAAAGTAGATAGCATTAACTTGTTTAAATATATAACTGTACAAATAAAATGATATACCGAATATAATGCAAGTTAATATAATAAAAACACGATGCACACACGTGATAAATATTTCATACAATATTATTTGAACATTATGTTAATAATATCAGTATGTTTATTGTAAATCGTTAGATGATTTTATTTGTCATGCAAACGTACATACTTTTTAAGGTTCGCGTTAAATGGCAGATTTTTTTGGGTGTTCGATTAAACTTTCAACAATTAACGATTAACATTTTTACAGGGACCAATTTGGTCGATATAGCACCAATTAAAGAGATACGTAGTTTTGCATATCAAATGCAATAATCAGTAAAATAATTTGCTAGTAATTATGGTACAATTGATTGGTCGCGAGAGAAAAAAAAGAAATATTGAAAAACGCCGACACAGAGTATTAATGGAACGCGGTACGCTTTATATTGCACAAATAATTATATTTAATAATTAAAATAAAAAAAAAAAGTAATATAAAATTCGAAACAAATCGATTTTAATTTTTTTTTTTTCTTTTTTCTTTTTGTTTTTGTTTAAATACTCCATCGAAAATCTCGATAATCTTGGCATTGAAGGCGGAGATAATGAGAAAAACAATACGAAAATGATGATTAAGAAAATATTGATTCAGTCTTGGTGATACCTTCAGCAGGCAACTGGTTATAACAAATTACGATCAATAAGTCGTCTTTGATCCTAATAAAAAATATTTCTCTCAATGAATATACACAAATATTTACAGAATACAGTTAGTCCAATAGAGTAATAATTTGGAAACTCGTCCACTTTAATGATTCTATAGTGGATAAAAGCCATAAAATGTTCTATTGAAGCACGGGTACTGTATTACATTAATATTAACGACTCGGTAAAGCTTCGTACAATCCTCCCGATTAATATCTGCGCGCGTAAGTACATAGGCACCTACGCGCATTGTAACAATACATACGATGCGCAATGGAGTTCGACAACCGTAAAACTTCTATAAATTAAATCCGATTCAAAATAAAATTGTAAACTTCATTGCGAGACCGTGGCAGTGTGTAGGAGACAATAATGCCGATTATAATGCGAGTAATCCATTAATAATTATGATATTTGAAACTGCGTGACAAGGAGCTTGGTGGCTTTGGCAATGTCGTAGGCACTGGAACGAACTTGTTGAAGGCAGAGATCCATATGATCTATATCACTGGTACATCTTTGAAGGGCAGTGCACTCCGCTTGTAATCTACCCGTATTACCATTGAGTTGCCGTAATGCGGATCTAATGTTGTCATCGACTGGATTCTGCAAAAAAAAAAAAAAAAAAAAAAAAAAAAAAAAAAATTCATTCCTCTAAGTTTGCGTACACTCGTTTCACGAATAATATCTACGATATCGATTATCCTCGATGCCTGCCAGGTATTGATAATATCAATGTTTGGCTAATCCGGGTAAATCGTATTTTATTAATTTTTTATCCATACACGATCGATTGCTAATAGCCAATGAAATAACAAATACTCTTAATTAATCGATTAGGCGTTACATAATTAAAAAAAATTTTTTTTTCCAACTTATTCTAAAAGATAAATCCCAATAATATTAATAAAATTATGCTTTTATTTAATTTTTCTATCCTACAGATTTTATTTTATTTAATGAATTAATTTTAATATTTACAGTGAAACTGTAAAAAATTTTCCGAGACGTAAAATTATATTTTCAGTTTCTTAGAATTATTTATTAAATATGCTCATAATATCATTGATCTTAAATTTCATATTCACCGTGGGCTTGTTATTTTATCTATAATTATTATACAGCAAAATGTATGTAGGTCGGAATGAATTAAGAATATACATTTACGCAAGAAAATCTGTGAAAACCCGAATGACGTATTGTTCGTAGAAAATGCCTGAGAAACATATCGAGCCAAATAAACTAAAGGTAATTCGACTCGAAACTTTTGTAAATTTGAAATATTTCATACTTCACGCCAGTTTTCCAGGATTTCCAGGAACAACAGTTCAATCGACAAATCGAGGATAAAAATCCTTACGACTTTCCTTTTATTTATTAATTATTTATTTTTTATTTATTATTATTTTTTTTTTTTAATTAGCTTCAAAATTTAGTATATATATTTTCATGTTATAGCTTAAAAATAATATAGAAATGTTAAAAAAAGCCTTATCGTACGGAGTTTATATTTTGCAGAAGTCAACTTTCTTATTATATGGGAAAATTTTTTACATTAATTCATTGAATTAAATATCTAATTATAAATAAAAAGTATAAATTTTTCTACGAATATTCAAAAGTATATGTGTATATATGTATATAGTGTGTGCATATACATTAAATTTACTTATTGCAAGACTTTAAAAGCTATTTTCTATTAACAATTCTATTAAAATATTTTTAATATTTAAATTAACCTAATTTATTGTTTTTTAATTATAGAGCATTATTAATCAACGATAGAGTTCTGAAAAAAGATTTTATAAATTAACAGTAAACAGGAAATTTTATATAGTTTTTGAACGTTTCGAGTTAAAAAGAAATATTTTATAATATAATTTTTTAAATATATATATATATATATATATATATATATATAAGAGATTTTAATTATCTATAAATGATAAAGAAAAATAATTATGAATTAAGTGATTTTGAATAAATAACAAATTTAAGTATAAAGCAAATACAAAGCAGTTCTAATTGACTTGAATTTATTTTCATTTTTTTTTTCTTCTTTTTTTTTTATTTGTTAATATAAACGTTTAAAATTGCGACGAATTTTAAACATAAATTGCAATGTTAAATCAATTTATCATTTTAATTTATTATTAAAAGTAGAAAAGGTGGTACAACAGATGTATCGTAAATTTTACAAGATAAAATTTTTAGTAAATATATTATTAATATATGATTACTTATATCAATATTTGTATGTATATGAAAATTTTTTTTTTTTTTTTCGGTATTCGCTGATATTATAAAAGGGACTCCAAGCGTTATAATAATAATAAATTATGTTATTGTTAATTTTTTTTGGTTAAATATACGAATTATAGAATAAAATGATTTCTTTTTTTTTTTTTTTTTTTCATAGCCTATTATTTTCTATTTTTAACTGATATATAAAATACAAACGTGCCGATAAAATTATTAAGAATAAATTATGTATTATATCGGCCATAGTTGCAAAAGGTAGTCGTACATAAGTATTATGCTGATGCTGATGAGCCGCATCTATGAAGAAATAACGTACCTGGGGGAAAATGGCGGCGAGCTCGGCGACGGCAACGCGAATGCGCTCAGCACAGGGGACGAAGGCCTCCCTATGGGCCGGATCCTGCATTGCCATCCACAACTCCTGTATACGCCTCGTGACCTGCTCGGTTCGCCTCGTCACTTCCTCGCTCGGCGGCAGACTAGACGCTCCGCATTCCCACAAACCCTGCGTCGTGCAAGGTCGCGGCAGTCCTTCCGACTCTCTTTTCGTCTGGAATGTAAAAAGTACTCTTTGAATTTTAACAAAGCCCTTTCTACATGACTTACAAATGCCTTTCATAATTTCTTTTTCACATCCTGCTGCATCCAGTACTCTCTATAAAAGTTAAGCTTACAACGAAAGGCTCGGCGCTTTCGTAGATTTTTCATTAGTTATCCAGCTAAGTGCAAGCATCGTTTATTAACAACTTATAGATAATTAATTTTTCTTTTAAATATTCACGAACAAACTAAAAAACCTACTTGATTCATAAAGCTTGGTGGTTTTCTGAGACCCTCTCGAGTTTCGTACATTGATGCTGGTCGTTGACAGTTTTTGATCGGCGTCGAATAAGCCTTAATATCTAGAACTGGTTCTAATTCAGGGTCATGCTCCTCGATATGACCATTTATTATTCTTTCTGGCGGTGCTTTGACTTTGGTTTGAGCCTAAAGCAAACATTTGAATAAACACACGCGCGATATATCATTAAATCTGAATCATTTTCGCGAAATGCTTGTAGACATATTTACTTGAATCGTGCTTTTTAATTCTCGATTTTCTAGCATTAACTGTTCAACAGTTGTTTGAAGGCGTCGAACTTCCTCCCTGAGATCTCTTGCTGTTGATTCGGATAATGTCAGTTGTTTCTTTAAGACTTCGACAACCGATGGCAAGCCTTTTGCCATTGGGGCCAATGCCTTCTGCAAAAAGCATCAAGGGTTTCCCGCAAACTTTTACTAATTACGTATTTTGGAGATTAATAAAGGTGTATTTTACTTCAATGTAATGTAGAAACGATCGGATTCGATATATACATATATGTGTATCAAATGAGCTTCAACATGTTGTACGAAAGAATTTTTATAGCGAGTGAAAATGTTTGACAATTATTCAAAGATTGAAGTATTTTAGAATAACTCTTAATATAAATTTTATTTGAATTTAATGCTTGAAACGATTAAATGCATCTAAAACAAATAAAACAACAAATTATTCATTATTTACGATAAACATGTAAATGAATAAAAAAAAAAAAAAAAAAAAAAAAAAAAAAAAAAAAAAAAAAAATCGTATTTCAATATACATAATAAGTTAATTTCTTGGCAAATTTTTTATCTTACAATTATTCACATTTAGGGGATAATATAAATTAAATTTAACTTTAACGCATAATCGACACAATAGCTACTGTTTATAAAATTCTTGTACAGCTCTAGCATTGTGCGTTGAAAATTTACATATGGCCATCGGTGGGACAATGATTTAAAAAAATTATAATAAATAGGACTGGCACGTATGAAAGATATATTTTAAACTATCTTTTAAACGATATTTGGTAAATTAATTCCCGTCTCATAGTGGCTCATGCACAGACATTTTGAATCGGTCAAACTTGCCTAGAAACACCGCTTACAGAGAAGCCACACCCTGGGTAGACTCCTTAATCGTTGTTTAAACGTTGGCACCTTCAAGTTCATGTTATCAAGCGTAATCAAGCGTAATGTCAATGATCAAACGACTGGTCTTCTTCGTACTCGAATGTTAATGCTCTATCTCTTTTATAAAAAGTTATATTACGATCATTAGCTTACTTCGTTATCGGTCATCATTGAGGAAGGTAATCGAGCTGTGCTATCCGTTGCGAGAGCCGCGTAATCATCGTCCGAGGCAACGCTGTCGTACAGAGGTTCATCATCCGACATCTGCGATCCATACTTTCCTACTTGCTCTTTACGCAATGTGGAGACGACGGGATCTAAATGATATAAATAAAAATGATTATTAGAGTTCGTTTTGATATTTATTGTGATCTATAATCTGTAATGCCATATTATTTACCCTGTAAAGGCGTACTATTAGCCACGGTGTGCCTGTGACCAACTTCGGTGAGAATATCAATAATGAGTGTGGCGAATTCTTTGGGAGTGAATCTTGCTAATTTCTGACGGCCTTGATTGCGCGTAGAAGAAAGTTGAGGGTGAATGGGTAGAAATGGTACTATACACCTTTCGGGAAGAGTTGCGGATGATAGCCAAACTAATAATAAATTTCTATTAATTTCATGTATGCTTAAATTTTTACAGATTCAGTGCAGTTACACTTTAAGGCGCTAATAAAGTTTTGTGATGAAAATTAATCACGTCATGCTATCGTAAAATAAAAATATAAAATAAAATATAAAAATAAAAGTGAAAATAAAAGTCAATATGAATGCAATAAATTCTGCGTGAGACATTCGCATTAATGGTGCTTCATAATAATTTGATAATTTCTATTTAAAGCTGAATTTTCAATGACTGATTGATTATTGAAATGATTGCATGTTGCTGATACTCTCTTTCTACATCGCACGTAGCTAACAACAAAGCTAAACAATCAAATGCTCGCATTGGCGAAATTCAAATTTTTTACTTACCTCTCCTTAAGAATAGCATTTGGAAAAGTTCATGCACATTAATAACATTTAAACATGATCACTAGGTAGCACGATCTTTATCCTAACAAAGTTTCTAATGAGTTTTAATGATAATGACAATGAAATAAAATAAATCTCATTTTATAAGTGAAATTGATATGTACATGGGTAAAGCAAAGAACGACATTTCACATATTGAATTGCGCATTTTCTTAAATGAATTGAGATAAAAAATTTTACTTTAGATTTTCATCTTCGCTCCTACAAGATTAGTACTATGAGAGCTTTACTTACTGGCATCCGTTTCTCTACGATCAACTTCATCATAAACATCGGATGCGAGCTCTTCCAATAAATGATTTGACAACTGAAAGTATATTTAATAATTTATTAAATTATATAATAATTGAATTCGTGAAATTATTAATGAAAGATTGTAGGCTAGATATTTTATTCGTTCCGCTTATGGAATAAAATAAGCTGGTTATTACCATTTGTAATTTGTTTCTTGCTTCAAAAGCTAATTCGCTTCTCTCCAAAGTAGCGGCCCACTCAGGAATGATCAGATGCTCACCAGACTTATGATCAGGTTTTTGATTACAGAGAAAGTAGGTCAACTTATCCGTAACTTCGTACATGCACTCTATAAGTCTTTCTGCCAAATCTAAATGGCCTGCCAGCCTAAAAGAAACACAATATTCATTTTCATCGAAGTAATTGATTCTTATCAATTAAACGAATAATTGTATGAAAATTAGCTAATTTACTTTGCCACTTCAGCCGGAGTCTGTCCATTTGAGTCTACTATACTTGGATTGCCTCCGTTGGCTACGAGTAGCTCCAACTGAAGAGCTTGACCCGCTCTGGCCGCAACGTGCAGGGGCATAGTGCCTTTTTCCTTCAATTTAAAAAACCAATTGTAATCTCCATTCTTGCATTAACAAAAAAGAAATAAGCTTTTCATAATAGTTATGAAAATCAGAAAAATTGTAAAATTGAAATTATTTCAATCTCACACCCGATCCATACTTCTGGCACGAATCATTCGTTTCAATGGACCAAAATTAATTTATCGTTATTTTTACATCGTCCATAAGCTATATAAAATTTCTATACATCCGATCATAAATGGACACTAGCCTGCATATGTAATTTTAATGCAATTGTATGATATTTAATATTACTTCGTTAAGAAAAATTATTGCAGTACCTTATAAAAATAATTTGCATTGGCCCCCTGTGCAAGAAGGCGTAAAGATGTTTCTAAATTTCCTGTGCGAACGCTGCTGTGCAATTGTCTGCTTAGTTCCTCTTCGCTACAAGACTCTTCCTTACACGACCGTAAAACAAATTTTAATTCTTGATGTTTTGTTTTAATGAAATCTGCTTTTACGGGACTAAAATTTATAGAAACATACAAGTAATCGTGCATGTGCCAAAAATTTACTTTAACTAGCAAAATGATATAATTCAGATAAAAAATATAAATTACTAACTGTAATGGATCTTTTGGCTGAGGTTTTCTTCTGCTAAATTTAGAATTACTGGGATCTAAAAGAGAATGCTCCCAAATACTGTTGGCTCCATTATCATTTAAAGTTCGAACCATCTATAAAAATTAAATCAATAACTTGAAAAATAATAGAAAGAAGAAAAAAATGAGAAAAGAATTGTGTTTTTTTTTTTTTTTTTTTAACAAATTGATTAACATAATATATATTATTGTTATATTCGGGTTAAAAAATGAATATTATTTTGTAATCCTAGTAAATGTCAATGTTAAACTGATCCAAACATTTTACGTAATACAAAATAAAAAATTAATTATGAAATTAAATATTTAACCATGAATTATTATACAAGTCTGTTTAATGTATTGATTCCATAAGTTTTATCAATTATTGATTAAATCTCAAAGGTAGATAGATGTACATTTAAACTTTAGTATTTTTAAACTAATCTTCATTCAATAATAAAGATTTATATTACAAATAACATTATACATAATATAAACATAACTTGTACATTATTTAAAATGCTCGATTGAAAATAAAGAGAGATAAGCATGATTAATGAGGCTTATAATATATAAGATTTATAAAATTAATTATAACATTAATTTCTCACTTTAATCGCATAAAATGACAATTACATACGTTTAACATATTTGTGCTCCAAACTCCTTTTGTCAATGATTTGATATATGAAACATGTCTTCCTAAGCTTCTATGTATACTGCAGCACTCGTCACAAAGTAAAATAGCTCTGTTTACAGAAGCCCATGCTGGCTCTAAATAAAATCATTAAAAAAACAAAAGGAAAAAAAAACACATTAAGACTCCTTTGATTGCCCCACAACTTTAATAAACGCATTATCGGCAAAATATTATTAGGATAAATTGGAATTATGTTTATGAATAAGAAGCCAGTGCTTAAATTTTAAAGATATGAAACAAAAACTGAAAGCTATTTCCATCAGCCATCGGTAGGAGATGAATCATTGTGGTTTGAGCTCTCATTTAAAAGGCCACTTAAGTCACTTTCATTTTCATCGCCTACCCACTCTCGGTAAAGTTTAAAATCATTGATATCGGACGAAAAAAAAAGACTCACCAGGAGAGCCGCAATCGGCACAGACGTCGACGCTCGCGCGATGTTTCGAACGTGCCATTATTATTATTTTCAGATTGTTCCTCTCGGCGAAGGCGCAACACCTTTTGAGAGGGTCACGCACGATTATACACGGTTATGCGTCTCGCGAAACAAACTTTTACTTAAAATTATACGCATAATACTCGCGTTCACATAATAACAGGGCCAATTGTACGGGCGACGCCACCGCACACAGCGAACTTAATGAATCGGATCGAAATAAAAACACGCACACGCACTGTATTCTCCGCCCTCGCCTTTTTCTACTACTATGTCTGCACGCACGCATGTGTATAGATAAATAGGCATATGCGTTTATCCTTGCGCGCGCGCGCGCGCGCGTTTGCGTGTATTAGCAGAGCCCCTCTCTCTCTCTCTCTCTCTCTCTCTCTCTCTATATATATATATATATAAACATGGATACCCGTCACGTTACGTTGAAAGGTCAACTGTGCGCAGGTATATATATATATATATATATATATATATATATATAAATATATGCATATGTAATATAACGACCGAATGTATTAATAAATTGTACGACGCGAATGGAGGTGAGGTTAGTCGCTGATATATTTGTTCCGTAAAACACACTAAAATATGTTAACGCGGGTAATGCCAGAATTTATCAGTTTCAAATATATTTAGAGATTAAATGACTATTTTAAATAATATATTTAATTAATTGTTACATTTGACCAACATTAAGTTATTTTCAGCATTTCTTTAAACATTAAAAATACGGCATTTTCCGTTATTTCTTCTTTTAAACATTGTATCGTCATTTTTATTTTTATAGTTTTATTTTTATGCTAATATTGTTTACCGTTAAAATTATACCTTTTCACAAATTTTATATATAGACTTAGAGGTAACTACAGATTACTATTTTTTTCTTTTTTCTTTTTTCTTTTAAGTCGAAACCATAACAATGATTCTTTCATTTTATTAACAACAATTATCACTTATGACACTTTAAATCATAAATAATCACTTTCCAATAAAAATCGATAAAAATAATTTTACCATTTTCTATTTTACTTTCATTGACTATTCTATATTAATCATATGGAAAGAATTTATCGTATTCGATTATTTCAAACGACCTATATTTATTTAAGATCTCATCTTTATAAATTTTAAATATAAATATGTTGAGCTACAAAACCACATAACAAATATTTCCAATATAAATCATTTATTCACCCATCATTAATAAACATGGAATCGGATATTATTATAGATTCCGAGGTTGGATTATTTTTTATTAAACTGTATATACTTCAATACTAATTCCAGACTATAATCAGCTTTAATGTAATTTCCAAACTATGTTTTTACCAATGTCTATTTGAAAAAAAAAAAAAAAAAAAAAAAAAACAGAAAAAAACTTATAATAAAGTTTCTTATATTTATTAAAATACAATGAAATAATTAAAAAAAAAAATTTTATTTGCATTATTTTTAAATATAATTTTATATAATTAAATAATATATTTAACGTTAATATAAAAATTAACATAAACTTTATGATTTAAAGTATCTACTTTAACCGCCATATTCTTGCAATATAAATAAAATATAAAGTTTTTTGATTTATAAATATTTCTTCTAACAGCATTATTCTATGTAAAAGATTAAATTTCCAAAGCAAAGATTATATATTGTTTCATTTAATCAGTATTATATAGAATCAAAATATAATAACGCAAATATAAATTGTAAATCTAAAAAATAATACAAGGATTTATATGACATTGAGATTGAATTAGTTGAATTAATTGATGTGAATTTTTATAAAATCAAGCATGATGTCCGAAAGACATGATTAAATCCATCTTTTTAATTAAATAAATTTAATTATTAATGTTGCCGACAAGCTTACGGCCTGCTTTGAGATTTTTTACATGAAGTTAAGCACACGTACGAACGCACGCGCGAACACACACACCCGCACGCACGCGCACACACGCCCACACACATATAGATATATATATATATATATATATATATATCTACACAGCATAGATGGATCATACTGTATGATAACAACACTTGTAGCCATTGACCATGCGAACACGATGTTTTTGAATCACGTTTTGAACTTGTTATAACCTATTCTTGGTGGAATATTTTGTTTTTTATTATTACAAAATGTCTTACAAAGACAATTTTAATGTTTTTGTCGGTGCCAAATCAGGTACATTTAAAGGTGTTAAAGTAACATCTAAATCATGTGTGATGAAAAATATACAAAACTTACTATCCATAACCGATAATCATGAAGTAACCTACATGACTTGGGGAAACAGTGAAGAAAAGGACATTCTTTTAGCATGTGGATCTAAAGGAATTAGAAGTGTCAAGGTGTATGATACAGTAAATGAAACATTTAAATTGTCATTTGTTTGTGATATTGGCGAAGGAAATATTACTGGAATATCAAGGTATAAAGAAGAAATCTTAACTGCAGTTCAATCTGGTCATATTAAATTATGGAGAAATAATGAAGAAGATAAGGAATATATATTGAATGCTGGTGAAAATTTGCTTTGTATGAAAAAAGCTAATGTTCGTTCAAATATTATTGGCACTGGAGGTCTAGAAAATCCTCTAAAATTATTTGACTTGGAGAAAAAAATCAGCATTTTTACTGCAAAAAATGTCTCTCACGATTGGTTGCAATTGAGAGTTCCAATTAGTATTAACGATTTACATTTTCTATCTAATAATAAGGAAATAGTTACGGTTGGTAAATACGGTTTCATACGTGTGTATGATACAAAAGCTCAGAGAAGGCCTGTTATTAATTTAGAAATTAAAGAAGAATCTTTAACAAAAATATCAACTTGTTCGCAAGATAAACAAATTATTTGTGGAAGTGGTAAAGGCAGAATAAATATGGTAGATTTACGAAAGTGTGGTAGAGTGTTAAATACATACAAGGGTCCAGTCGGTGCAGTAACTGGTGTCGCTGTTAATAAAACAGATCAGTATATAGTTAGTGCTAATTTAGATAGGTATTTGTATATTCATGATTTGAATACAAAAGCATTATTGAAAAAAGTTTATCTAACGTCAAAATTATCCAGTATGGTTATGCGCTCTGAATTTACATTAAATGTATTAGAAGAAGATAACCAAAGCAACGACGACGATGAGTTTGAATCGGAACACGAATTTATTAATATTGACGATTCAAACTGATTTTTACAACCGATAACAAACTTAAAAATTTTATCTTTAATGTTTCAATATTTTGATAAATATTTTATCAATAAATATCAAACTTTTGAAAATCTAAGACATTATTTATTAATAATATATACAAAGACATTAAGCATATTGTAATCATTATCAAATTATATTTACTATATTCTAAGTAAGTTTAACATAGCCAGCATGTATGATTTAATATAAACTATACAAAAATGTACATAGTATATATATATATAATATGATTCAAGTTTTAATAAATAAAATTATCTTAAACATTAAAATAATGTACATTAATAATTATTTTACTTAGATTCAGGAGATTCGGCATAAAGGTCACATAATTCCATAAATATTTTTCGTGAAAGTGATTTTCTAGAGTGAGGGGTATCGGTTGACTCTAAGCGTGATTGAAATCTCGTTACATCTGGTGTTATCAAAAATGTACCATTCATTTTTAAATCCATGTATTCTTTTAAAGGACGCTGTACCTTTTTGTCCCATAACTTAACTGTTGCAGGAGTCATATATTTTATTGGTGATGCTGGTAAAGACTTTGATGGGAACGTACTGTGTTGAACATTTAATTCATTTTCTAAGAGAATAAAACTATCTTCATTGGATATATTAGGTAAACTCTTTGGTGTCCTTGGACTAACGCTTTCTCTATGATATACATTTTCCTTGTTTTCTTCATCGTCTTTACCATTTTTATTTAATGTGTCACCTTCGTAGGAAACTTCACCAATCGTCGATAAACGTACGAGATCATTCAAGATTTCTGGCGAATTATTTGTTTTCCTATTTATGTCTTTATTATCAATCAAAATATTCATACCAACCTGCGAATTTTCTTCAACTTTAGAAATATTTTTGTCCGTACATTCTTCTTTACATATATTTGTAGTTAATGTACTTTCCTTATCACTAATACTTATATTTTTCAAATAATTATCAACAATATTTGTTGTATTTGAATTACCGTTATTATTTACAATTACATTAGATACATTAGATTTTTCATCAACTTCAAGTTCAATATTAGATGGAGCATCTGTTGTTTCTGTTATTGTATTGCTCAGCATATTATTAACAGCATTTAATGCTTGTTTTAATACGCGAGTTTGATTTTCACAAGCTTGAATAGATTGCTCTAAAAAAGATTTTAGTTTTACAAAACCACTACAATGTAAACTATCCATATTTGTGAAATTAATAGCTGGATTATGAACCATTATATTTTCTAAACAAATATTAGGAACTTCGTTATTTTCAACCTATTATGTGAATGATTTGTTTTAGATGCTAATTTTGAACAATTTGTTGTAATTGATTGTTGTTCGATTTCATCAGATAAACTTTTGTTTAAAAATAAAGTTCTGTGAATGGAAGGACATGTCATTGTACACTTGTCTTGCTTAGTGACATGTAATTGTTTGTTATTCTTAATATCAAATTCAGATGATGAAAAATTTAGTTCCATATCTATATTATCTTGTCTTTCGGGACAAATATTATTCTGTGCATCATTTTTTAATCTTACTGTTCCTGTAATATTTGAATGATATTTTCCATGTTTATCCATATTACTTGTACTACTTTCTACACTTTGCTTATTAGTTTGTGTAAAATTTGAAGTTGATTTTTTGATGAAACTATTTTTAATAGTATTAAGTGGTAATAGAAAACTTTCTCTATTTAAATTTTTTGATGAATTACTATGAATTGTGGGTTCTTCACGATTTAAAATCATTTTTTTCTTTGACTTTATCGCTCTAGTGGTGTTACTTTTGCCATCGACCGTTGACTTTTGTGAATAATCCAAGGTTTGATACAATTGACGGCGGACTTTATTACCATCGGATGACTTTCTATTGAAGAATGTGGAGTTTTCAACTAAAAATACAATCATATATTTATTTTAGGAAATACTTTTACATGTGATTAATGTATTATTAATTTATAAAAATTTAAAAACCTTCGGATTTAGGTCTATAGCAACTTTGTCTATTTAAATAAGACTGTGTTGATATACGAGATTTTTTCTTTTGAGTCGAAACTAGAAAAGCGATTATAAATAAATATACTTTTGTGCATTAACATTTCTTAAGAAATATCGAAAGTATTATAATACCAGACATAATTGCAGAATGTTGTTTTTCTTTTTGATTACTTTGAAGTAGATCCTTAATCAAAATTGGCTGTAGCATCTTAGTGTCTATATAAAAAATATGTATTTTAATTTTTATTTAATATAAAAGGGAAAATATTATAATTTTATGCCTACGGTTCTTTTTGCCATCTGAAAATGAGCCCATAGTATTATGTGGTGTGGTTTTAATTCTTATTGGAAAAAGGAAATTATTTTGCTTTCCCTAAAAATATATACATACTTGTGAACTTATAATAAAAAATTTACATAAAAATTTAAATACCAAACTTACAACTGAAGCTGTCAAATCACAAAAATAACCACTTCGAGAACTAGGTGTACTTTTATTACTTTTATTAAGCTCCATTTTGCCAATATAAGTTTATATCTACAAAATAAAATCAATCATAAAAACAATTCATTTTTAAATTCTTACAAATATTCTCAATATGCTATTACTACTTTAATAAAAAAAAATATATATATATACATATATTTTTTTTTTTTTGAAAATAAATACATCTACTTTCTTAATAATAATTAATGAAATCATATGTATAAAAATTAATTAGTGCAATTTTATTTCTAATTAAGTTTTTATTTTAAAACATTATATTGTTTATCATTTTCATACAATATTCTTATATATATATGTGTATATATATATATATATGTATGAATATATTGAAAATATAGAAAATCAAATTGACAAGTATTTTTTCAAAATTATTTATTACAAAGTATACTACGATAAATGATTTTTTTTATATAAATAATAATATAGGCATTGCTAAAGTAATTTGTTAAAATTTTACAAACCTGCTTACAGTGATTTATTTACAATACAAAACTTCAAATTTTCAACTGTCATTCGCCATCTACTGTTGTAATTAGAAACTATTTTTGTCCGTTAATTCTTTAAATTTAATAACAATTGGTTAAAATACTTCGTGTCGTATCCAATTTCAAGCATCTTTCAAACTGAAATTATACTATTGTTTATTAAATATTCTTGAAATTTGGAAAAAATTATCCAAACCAGAAGAAATCGTCAAATCAAATGTCGGATGATTTTCGTTACGAGGTTAATTAAAACAAGTTTCTTCTTTACCAAATTTTCTTTCGTACTTGGTAATAATCATATAATTTTTAAGGGACACACTTTACTTAAGAACCTTAACTTATGACAGAAATACGTTTATTTTCAAAATATTAATTTTCTTATGTTGCCGTTTGAGGCAGAAATTAACGAGCGTTACTTAAATAAGTTTGAATAATCCCCTAACATCTCATACTTGGTCGATTCGTACTTTCATTTTCATTTATTCGGCCAATCATTTGTTAGGCCGTTAGAAGTTGGAATCGGCCAATCATACATCAGGGCATAAGATGCATTGTATACAATTGGCTTTTATTTTTTTATAAAGTAATGGCGCGAGCGGTTTATCTGACAAGCTATTGCAAATAGGAAAATAAGCCAATAAAAACAAAACAAAAATGTATGTGTGTGGGCTGAGTCTCGTTGTTTTTTCTTATTTATGTAAAAAAAAAAAAAAAGGGGGGAGAGAAAAACACAAATAAGCATTGTAAATAATTCAGGGAATGTGTAAATTGTCGTTGGAGGTGATAGAAATTTTGATTTCTTTTCAATATTGAATAAAGAAGATGCCCCGCATCCTAATCGCCTGGCCGTAGCTTTGAGCAATGTTGCCAAACTTACGTTCATAGTTTACGATTTCTTATTTATGTATCCTTTTTTTTTTTCTTTTTTTTTTTTTTTTTTTTTAAATTTTTAATGCATTTTCAGTTAAAAATTAAACCGTAATAAAATTTAAACAATATCCTTAATTATCTACGAAGGCATAATTTTTCGTATCGTCAATTATTTATTTATAGTCTCTTCAATATCGGCTAGCGAAATTAATAATTTAATATTATTTGAAATACGAGTAAACGACATTGCCGTGCAAGTGAAATTATTTTGCGCGCATACTTTAACATTTATCAAACAAGATTTACAATTAAATATATGCTTCAACGCCTACTATTAAATAGCTTTATTTAATTTTACCTGTATTTAAATGAATAAGATCAAGAAGACATACAGTGGCAAATAATGACTCGCGGGTGCATTTATAAATTTTGAAAGTATTTTATAATAAACGATGGTATTGGCGTTGTCCAAAAAGTGTGCAAAAAAAGGTTCGTTCGAAGGCGCGGGTGTAGATTATCAGATGCTGTGGCAACGTAGCCTTCGTCATTTCGCTGTCCCATCAATGTTAACACGAGAAAGAAAAAGAAGGAAGACCAAGTAAGAATCGCGCGCATCGGCCATTTTGTGAAATCCCTACGCAAGAAACCCATCATCATACATTTGCTTTCCTTCTCTGCTGTATAAAGGAGGCTTGCGTCCCCCCACCTTCAGATTTTGAAAACAAGCGAAGATCGACGCCGTGTGTGTGCCGCTCGAGGATTATCGTCGTGCCTGCTGTGTTTCATTTTCTCATCTGGAGACTAGCCTTCTTCTGGGTTAAGCATAGATAGATAAGGAGCACGAATAACCGTAAAAACATCGCCTCGTAATCAAAAATTCTTGGTTAGGTGCGTGATTGTTCTCTCTCGCACTCACTTTCGCACTCATCGGCCGATCTTGTGCGGACGTGTGTGTGCGCGAGATAGACACAAAACGCTTTGCCGACTGTGAAGCAGCAATATATCCTGATCACTAAGGGACAGAGATAGAGAGAGAGAAAAAGGAATTGTGTGTTATTAAAAGTAAGTAGAACCAAAGGGGAAGAGAAAGATAAAGTGAGAAAGCGTCTTGGCTCCCGTCGTCGTCGGCGGATGGAGCGCTGATTAAAAGGCAACGCTTGCCCTCCCCCGATCAACGTCTCGCCTCTTGGTTATTATTCGTGTGTATATTTTGCGGACAGAAGCAGCCTCCTCGCGTTTATTTCAACGTTTGGCTGCTCGTTCATTTGTGTATATGCAATGGCAAGAATGAAAAAGTGGTAGTTAGAGGCTATGGCCGATGCTCGGCCGCAGCCCGAATGTTAGTGCGTCGAATTTTTCGTGAACGTGTCTCCTCGTGTTCGTGGAGCGGCTTCGCCGCTGCCGTCCGGTTATGCAATATCCCTCTCACATTCGTATGTTAACGGGTCGCAAAGGATCTATCGCCGCGAATTTCCCGGAGCATAACCTATATAATTATAACCTTACATGTCAACAGAACGGAACTTGATTGCTCTAGATTAACTGAAGGTGCGCATACCAGACTATTGGATTTGATTTTCTCGACGTTATTTTTTTTCGAGTTGAAATTATTTTTGGTTGGTTATTTCTTCGATTGGTACCCAGTTGCTGGATGGGTGTATGATTGTGTTTTGTCAAAGAGATGACATGGAACTGTATATAAGAATTTTGTGTCTAAAATGTGTTGAAAGTCGCCAATTTATATCTTACTGAATGTTTTAATGATTATTTAGAAGGTACGACTGCATTGATCCAAAGACGATGCTAACTTGTCTACTTTCTATTGTATTGCAGTGGTGTCGGTGATAAAGTAGCAAAAGAAATATTGACAATGGATGATAATGGTGATTTAACCCTACAATGGGTAGAGGAGGTAGGCAACGTTATTCACGAAGAAGTAATATGTGGCCTAGAAGCAGAATTAGACGCTCCTGTGGAGGAGGTGGTAGGAGCATGCGAAGAAGTAACTGTAGAAGAAACAGTGGAATCTGTTGTAGAGGATTCTACTCCTATAGCAGATACAGAGATCTTAATGGTTCCTCAGACAAGCGATATGGAATCGATTTATATTGTTCCACAAGATCAGGGTCATGATTATCTTAATATCCAAGTTACTGAAGAAGTAATCACTGATAATTGGGATAGATCCGGTCCGGACGATGGGTAAATTTTGCTTGAATTTGTCAATTTTTTTTTACAAATAATTTAAAACATTTGATAACTGCCTTTTAATATCACTTGATAACTAATTATGTTAATGAACAAAATGATATATAAAACATTGTATTTTTCTTATTAGAATTAAGATTGTAGAAGCGTATAGTTAAATTTATTATTTGTATTTTATACAAAACTATTTATTTATTTATTTATTTATTTATTTATTTATTTGCTTAATTATAGAATGGAAGTGCCGGAAACAAAAGTTTCACATGATAATTTATTAGAATATGATGATATGGAAATACCTTTGCCAATTGATCAAGATTCTTATACTAATACACGACCTTATCCATGTGATTTTTGTAGTAAAAGATTTAGAAAAAAAGCAAACCTTATGAATCACATGGTGACGCATCAAACAGAACGTCCTCATGGTTGTAATTTATGTGGTGCTCGTTATGTAAGAAAGTCCGATTTAATGAATCATTTAAAAATTCATGCATATGCTCCATCTCGAGATGGTTTGGAAGATGATCTTGAAGATCCGTTAGCTACAGAAGAAGAAGAAAATCATCCCATAAAAGGTCGTCGGAAGAGAATACAAACAAATGTTCCTAGGAAGCGTAAAGCTCCTCCTGGAGCAAATAAGCGCATTATTGATGATGGACCAAAACTAGATATGAGCAAGTGCGTATAATTTACATCTTATTTACATTTTATTAATGTTTTAATAGTTGATTTAATTCTTTTAATGATATATTTATATACATAAAAAAGTTCTATTTTTACTATTTTGGAATCTCGTATTGTTAATAGAAAAATGTATGTCATAAATAATTTATAATCAAGTCATTGATTATAATTAAATCATTTAATATTATATTATTGCATGTTCTAGAAAGCTGTTTACAAACATTATAAGTAGCTAAGAATCAATTAGAAATAATCTCATCTTGTATTGTATAGTACTTAGTGATTAATGTATAATTTATTTATTAAGGCAAATGAATTAATTATTTAATATTTCTAAATTCTTTATTAATTTTGTGAAATTTTATAGGTGGACAGATCAATTAACAAGCAATGAGCAACAGGTGTCTCGTTGGCCAATTACCGATACTACAAAACCATACGTTTGCCAATTTTGTGGAGTTGGTTTTGCAAGGGAAAAAGCTTTAGCATCGCATTCTCGTATTCATGGTGGAGATAGTCCATTTGAATGCACATCGTGTGGTGAAATGTTTTGGGATATTAATACGCTTCAAGAACATATGAGAATTAAACATGGAATTGGCATTGTCCAATCTGATCAAGATGAAATAGAAAATGAGTCTACATACGCAGGCGACGAAAGGTTTGGTGAATTTTTCTGTGACACATGTGGCGTTCCCTTCCACAGATTAGATCTTTTAAAACGACATAGAAAGTAAGTACTATGCTTTAAATAACAAATTAATTTGTACATATATTTGTATTTTTAATAAGAATTTTCTTAAAATATACTGTATATGTTTCATAATCTCGTTTAGGATTCATATAAAGCAAGAAATAGATACACTGGAAGGCTCCAGTCAACATCACGTTTGTAATGTTTGCGGTGAATGGTTTGAAGAAGCATTAGCGTTGTTAGCGCACGCTGAACTACACGCTAGGTAAATTTAATATTAAATTTTCGAATCTTAATATTAAATGAACGTGATTTAAAGTAAAATTTGAGTAAAAACTAAAACTGAATGATATTTATTAAAATATTTTGCCTGATACAGTAGGTCGCCTAGTCGCAGGTGTTTATTGTGTGGCGAAAAATGCCGCGACGACGCTGAACTTGCAGAGCACGTTCGGGAAATGCACGCGGAAGATGCACCGCCTAATACATGCGTTCTATGTGGAAAAACTTGTAAAGATAAACGAAGTTTATTAAAACACTCATGGATACATAGCACTGATAAGACATTTGGTTGCACGAAATGTGGAAAACGTTTTCACAGTAAAGCTAGGTTGCGAAGGTATTATTAATTTGTTATTAACATGCTGAATAGTTAATAGTTTTTAAGGAATATAGATATCGAAGATTTTATATATATATATATATATATATATATATATATTTAGGTAAATTTATACATTTTATAAAGATAATATAGCTGTCTGTTTATTTCCTTAATGACGAAATTCATAAATTTGTTGTCACAATTTAATTGGCTATTCGACTATATTTGAAGAAGAAAAAAATTAAAAAATACAATTGTAAAGGGTTAAAATTCAAAATTAAAATAAAATTACTATACAATTTACTTTCGAGAGCAAATGGATTATCAATTTAACTAGACAATTTTGAATCTTTCAGTAAATTTATTTAATTATCCCAAGTGATTATTCAAAATTATTTATAAAAAGATGTTTTTCAAATTACTTATAATGATAATAAAGACAAGTGATATAAGTTAATGATAAATTTTAAATCTGAACATAACTCTGTTTAGGCATATGGTCTCGCATCGTAATAAAATGGTTGCCTGCGACGAGTGTGGAGAGGAATTTCCTGATGGTCGAGCTTTGGTCAGTCATCGTCACTCGCACAATAAAGATTTGGGTGGACGCACGTTTCCTTGTAGAGAGTGCGGTAAAACATTTGGTAGTCGCAGCTCGCAACAGATACATATCCGAATACACACCGGTGAGAGGCCTTACGGTTGTCGGTTTTGCTGGAAGGCATTCGCCGATGGCGGTACCCTCAGGAAGCACGAGAGGATACACACGGGAGAGAAACCATATGGTTGTGCCATATGTCCGCGTGCTTTCAATCAGAGAGTAAGACTAGTTGCAAATTTATATTGTATTTTCTAAGGGTTAAAACTTCTTTTGAGCCATACGATAGACGAGAAAAAAAATTGACTATATAAAGGAAAATGCAATTGTCGATTAATTCATACGCCTTGAGTTAAGTATTCATTTTCCTGAAATGTATAAGCATTGAGCATTGAGCATTGAGCAATTAATATTTTGAATTATATATTAAATTAATGAAAGTTTTTTTTTTTTTTTTTTTTGATAATAATAATTCTAAGTTTCAAATAATTGCTGAACGAACGGAAATTAAAAATCTTTCGATGCAAAGGAAACGACAATAGAAACGAATAAGAGCGAATTTCAAAAATTTAATTTCCAGGTTGTGCTGAGGGAGCACGTGAGGGCACACCATTCGGGCCCCGATCCTAAATGCCACAACAGTTTGACGCCGTACATGTGCAAGGTTTGTGGCGACACGCTGCCCACGTCGGATGAACTCGTCGCTCACATAGTCGCGCATTGCGACGAGAACACAGCCATGCGTAGGCAGCCACAGTCCGGACCGCGTAAGTACAAGCGTCGGCGCAAGCTCAAGCACGAGGGTTCGTCGTTTGGCTCACGCGTGAGCGAGTCCTTCGACATGCTCGACGGGCCATCGGACTCTGACGAAAACACGAAGCGCAAGCTTGGCAAGAAGACCAAACAGCACCGCAGTAATGTCGAAGAGAGCTATCAGAATGTTCTCAAAAGTTTCGAGAGCTCCCTGCAGAATATAAATTCTATTGTGAGCAACTCTAAAACGTACCCGACCAAGACGAAAACCCCCAAGAAGAAGGTGAAGAAGGACGAGAAGAAGATTGGAACCCCAGCCGCGGTGAGTAACGCCGAGGTACCAGCGGCCAATCACCCAGGCAGACCAAAGATGATTCACACGCAGAAGACGCGCGTCCCGGTGGAAATTGGCACCGATGGGGTGAAAAAAGGACAGAAGACGAAGACCATGGTAACGCGAACGCCCAAAGTCATACCGAGCGAGCAACAGAAGACGCCCGGTCAGTTGCCAAGCGGAGAGAGAAATCGTCCGCGCACGAAGAATGTGAGCTACCATGTGGAAGGCAGGCAGCAGCTCGCACCGGCGACTTTCCCAAAGCCAAGAGACGGTGAAATCGTAGAGGCTGAGACCTCGACAGATGTTGATACGGTCAATATTAAGGTCGAGCCCGGGCTGCAAAAGCTTAATGCAAATCAAAATCATGCGACCAATAACAATGGCAATATAATCGAGTTTAAGCAGGAAAAAATCGATAAGATGGAGAAGCCAACGGTAAAGAGGCGCGTGGCCATGAAGAGGACGAAGCGGAGACAGACAACGGGGGCAAGACGACTGAAGGAGAAGACAGCCCAGATCGTGGTGCCGGACCTACCAAATAACAATAATGTGACCGTCGAAGAGGATGAGACGTTGGAGGAAGACACCGGGGCGATGGTCGTAGAGGAGGAAGTACAGCCGACTCAACTGTTCGAATCCGTGGTCGACGGCAATAACCTCGAGGTTGCCTTTGAGGCTAACGTGGTCTCCGAGCAGGACATAATCCAAGAGTCGATACTTCCCGATCTGGACAAGGTGAATCACGTGGAGGAGATAGGCGCGAGCCCCGGGAGCGTCAAGCTGAGCGTGAAGGTCGAAGCGACGTCGGACGGCATACTCGATGTGCATAGCCTGATAGGCTCGGTCGAAGAGTCCGTGCCGGAGACCATTATACCGGACACGATCGAGTACACCTGTGAGATGTGTGCCGCCGTATTCTCGACGCGCGCTGAACTTCTCGTCCACGTACCCATACACATTTGATTCCGCTCGACGGCTACTTGGACCAAGCGAGTCTCGAGGTTTGTTCTACTTTAAGGAAAGTACAGTTCATATCCGCCACCCGATTCCCCTCACATTGCGAATTATTATATATACACAAGTTAATGTAGTGAAACGACGAACAAACAGAGGAACCTAAGGCTTGTTTGAAATCATCATAATGTTAGACATGGGCACTATTTAAGAACCGAATGAATTGGAGGTATTATCGCCGATCGAGGAGATTCATACGTACGTGATTATCTGTACACACGTACGTGTACATTGGTATTGTTTTGTATATGTATGTGTGTATACGAATAAGCAATGTAGATTAATTTCTTAAAATTGATTATTTATTATATACCGTAGGACATTTTAAAGAGCTGATGATGTGCTATTACCGACTAAGTTATTTGCGCTCTTAAAGAATGCTCATGTTTAATTTAGTTCTCAATTGGTTTCAGTGTCGAACCAAAACATATTAACGACACGTTACTCTTTTATGTAAGTGGCGTTCGATCTCCTATTATTGCCGAATATTAATTATTCGTTTATACGAACTTTGACAATATTTGATTTGTTCACAAAGAATTTTTCTATTTTTAAAATGTTTTAATTAAAGTTACTGCTATATTTGAATAATTGTCTATTAGCAATCCTTTTGTACTTTGCCTGTGTTCATGTTTTTTTTTTTTTTTTTCTTTTTCGAAAGAAATGTTTTAATTTTTGTGTTCATATCGAAGTTGTTCATAGGATTAGGTGTAGAAATGAGAAGGAATAATCATCACGTCATTGGCCGTATTAAACAATTGTATGATTCGATGAACAAATCTGAAAGTACGTGCAGTCAGTTTTGCTGCCGAATTTACAAAATCTTGTGTAACATTTTACATTAAATCGGTTACATTGAAGAAAGCATCGATGCAGATCGAAGTATATTCTATTATGATATATTTTATTGACGTAAATTTTTTTGAATCAGCTTAATCGCTATTAGATTTTAAGTTTTTCAAATATCATAAAACCATAAACGCACGCACGCGCACACACAATCACACGAATACAAATGCACACACGCACAGACATCGTACTAAGGTCTGAAAGGATATTTAAATAAAAAAAAAAAATAATAATAATAATAAAATAAAAATTAAAAAAAAAAAATAATAAAAAAAGAATATTAAATAAAACTATTTCCTCGCACATTGTACACTACTACATCAATGAAATACACGACATATGCAGCATCGCCCATGTAACAAAAACTGCTTCGAGCTTTTAGATCGTAAATATATATTGCAAGCATTCTCGCGTAAAAAGTTATTATATCAAAACAAAGCAAAAAAAATTTTTTACTGAAAATTACTCTTATATCGTCACAGAATGACAGTTGCGAAATTTTAACATAAAAAAAAAAAAACAAAAAACTGATAATTACAATAAATTCAAATAAATTTATATTTTATCCTCTAGTGGTAAGAATAATTGAAAAATGTACCATTGATTCAATTGTCTTGGACAAAATTTTGTACAAATTTTATAAGTGTTAGAGCTTTGCAGATTATTAAAATTTGATCCAATGTCATTAAAATGGTAGACGATCTGCACTTCTTATTATAAATGAAATAAAAAATTTTGATGCATTAATTATATTTATATACATGTAATATACACAAGCTTACATTCTCTGTAATAAGATGCGTTTGCTATCTTTGAACATAACGAATGTTTGAGAATATTTAATATGTCAAATGTAAATTGCATAAGATATTCTGATAAATTATATAAGAGAAACCTTGTACATAAGAAGATCAAATTTTTTAATTCTAAAAATTACGAATTTACAAACGAAGCGATATATTGAGACGCACCAACAAGCCAAAAATAACCAGCTTACCTTCATATTGAAAAGTGTAAAAATAGAAAATCATATCTAGTTCTTATCACGAAATGTGTTATAAAGTAATTCATGTTACAATTGAAATCAAAATAATTAGTTACTCTCCGCATTTTCGCCAACTATTTATAAACTTGGTTTATAAAATGAACTTATTATTAAATTTATCAATTATAAATTTGACAATATGAATTTGACAATATGGCAAAGCAATTGAAATTTTTTTTCATTTGTTGACGATAATTGAAGTTACAGTTTAATTTTAAGTTTGATATAAATTCTGGGAATGTCTATTAAGTGAATACCATTTTTACTTTTTGAAATTTATACGTTTCTTATGTACAATACAATGTACAGTTTTAGCTAGGAATTTTTATAATATTAATAATTAAAAAAAAAAATAATAGTAATAATGATAATAATAATACTATTAATATTATTAATAATAATAATAATAATAATAATAATAATTATAATAATTATAATAACAATAGTAATAGCACACTAAATTCTGTTTAAATAATTAGTTGGCTAAATTCCAGTAAACTATCAGGTGTTGAGATAGTTCTCTGTACTATTTGTACTTTGTTATTAATGAGAAAAAGCATAGTGAAAGAAAGACATCAAATATAAATTGTAACTTCATCGATAATTTACGTTTAACCCAAAGAGGCGTTATTTTCTTAAAATTGTTTAATATTAATTTTTTAGTACTCAGAACAAATATAATTTTAAGTACATATTTTTATAAATGAGTACATCAAAGGGAAATTAAACAGAATAAATTTATTTAGAGTAGTTAAAAGTATTTGTTAACTATTATTAATTGAAATTTTATAAAATGTAGTTAAATGAAATTTTTTTATGTTGAATTGTATTATCGAAGACATGCATAGCATTGTTATTATTAATTATAATTGATATTTATGTACTCCATATTATTGTAGAACATAATATATTATAAGTACAAATAGCTTAATTTATCAAAAAAAAAAAAAAAAATAAAAATAAAAAAAAGTAAAGGAAAACCAATTAAACCGACTCCACGATCAATCGATTTTAAACTTAAATAATTTTAAGTGGGTGACGTCTCTGAATATAAAAGAAGTTAATGGTACAAATTCCAATGACACGTGCGAATTTGCCGTGAGTTACGCTTTACCTTGTACATAATGTCAGAAAATCTCTGGAGATATAAGTAAAAGAAATTAAATTTAAGCGACAGGATATTAAATAAAAAAAAAGTGGGCACTGTTATGAATAAGTAAATATATATATATATATATATATATATATATATATATATATATATATGTGTGTGTGTATAGTATATATGTGTGTATATATATATATATATATATATATATATATATTTACATAAGATTTTCCTTGTTTGTGTAATGGTATTCATTTGCAAGAAGTCGTTATCTGACTTCTTAAATTATTATTTGTAATTGTATAAAAACAAAACTTGAGTATGGAAAAGATACGTCGTTGTAAGCATTGAAGAAATGGGAGAGTACCAATATAGAATTATTATGTAATTCAGCCATTGTTTAATTCATGAAACAAATTATGAATGTGTAAGTAATTGTGGTTTTGTCTTAAGTTTAACTATAAATTGAAATACATTTAGTCTCACACATAGCATAAACGAATGTAATGTAGCATAAACATGGGCAAATTTTAGTCGCTCCGAGGAAGAACCTTCAATTACATGTACCAGTTCAGTTGTAATCTAAGCTATAAAGTATATTTAGATATACATACACTATATTTACGAATTAAATCGATCATCTTTCAGCCGAGGCAAGTTAAAAATATAACATTTGCTGAGGATAAGAAAGAAAATATTCATTGTACATATTATCTTATGGATATATGGTATGGTGGCGTAATTCACTGTTAACCGTAGTTGTATTTTTCTTTGAATAAATGATTATTAGATATATCACAAAACATGTTTTCAAATTTATTCTATTTTTATGCAAAATTTAATGTGTGCTAGGAACAGGCTTATCATTTTTCTTTAAAATAAAATTCTAATTTTAATAAATATTAAATCTTCTTTTCAGCTGTGAAATGTGAACCGTGAAAGCAATCAACTTGTGCACTGTATAACAAGAATAAAAGCAATTTATTGTAAATAATTAGACTTAATTATAAATGTTTCTTTTAAATAATCATTGTTTAATAACATTAAATTCATATAAAATAAATGCACGTGGATCTTACGAAATTTGTGGCATCATTTATATTTATAAAAATGTATTCGATTAAGATGATTATATGATGATAATTAAAAATATCAATATGCACTCAATTTAATTTATATCAAATTTAAAGACATCAGACATACAAACTTATATATATATATATATATATATATATTTAAAAATTATTTTAAATAAATGAATTTGATTTAAATTGTGAATATATTTGAAGAAAGATTTTATAAATTATATTTTATTACAAAGTCAATCATTTTAATTTACAAATTTAAATGTAATTAACTGTAGAATTATATCGAAAAATATATTATTAATATTTTATTTTTCATCAAAATATTTAAATAAGAAATAATTGATTTACAAAAAAACGAATTTTCTATTTACAAATCAAATATTCTTCCAATTTATATATTTTTATTGTTGTATAAAAATACGACGTTTCGTCCGAGAATTTTAAATAAGAAAATATAAAAAATCTTTTCATAATAAATTATAAAAATAATGGATAAATTATAAGACTGTATTTTGTAATTTATAATTATATTTTTTTCATAAACTTATTTAATAATTAAATACGATTTTATAATGTTTGGCTTAATATATTTTATTTCATTTACATTAGATAAAGCATTACTATAACAATTACGTAATTATTTAAATAGATAACATTCTACAAAAATATTATCAATACTTCACTGCTGCTAAAACAATGTTGTATACATCACTAACAATGAAAAACAAATACTAAAATATTTAGTATATTTGAGGTAAGTTTTAAAATTATTATTAAATTCTTTTTTTACAGTAAACAAAATAATGCATAAATATGGTAAAATTAGTTGTTTTCATTTTTGACGTTTAATTTTAATTACTTTACATTATATTAATAGTACTTATATTATTATTGTAAGTCATATATACCTTAACTATAGTAAACTTTATATTAAAATAGTTCAAGATTAAAGTCATTATTAATAAGGACTTTATAAATTGTAAATTTTATAAAAATGGTATATTGATTAAAAAATATAGGATTTAATTTTTTATTGTGGTATATTACAATTTTATATATTTTCTGATTAAAATCAATAATTGTTGTAATTATTTTTGCGAGTATATAGGCACTTATAGCATTCAATTATCTCAATGTTTTTGGTTTACAACAAAATTAGTCTTTACCAAATTGCAATGCCACTGTTGGTTGATCGACTTTGTACAATGTTTCACCAAGGTTGAAATAACCTAGATATTCAACAGTATCTGGTGTTGTATCAATATGATAATGCCCACCTTCCCCATGATGAGAAAAGCTGTGAAAGTGCTGTACTCGTAGATCTAAATCCTACAAATATAATAAATGAAATTTAATTTCGACCGTATTTGGATAGGTTTACAGCTTTATCTGTGAAACTATTTTTATCTCATGCTGATAAGAAAGAACTTTTAATTTCATTATCAATAATGTAAATGCTAATAAAGTTCCTTTTTATAAATGAATTCAATTTTTATCACAATTTAAAAACAATATGAGCTCACTGTTTCTGCTGAAATGAAAGTGCCAACTGCTATAAGAGGTGCTGTCATATCATAAAAATGTAGCCAATTATTCAATTCTTGAAGATTATTTAGTGGTTTATCAGAAAAGTCTGGCATAACATGCTGCTTTACTTTACCTTCTTTAATTACAAAAGATCCTCCTAAACCTACGTTAAGAAAACAATAAATTAATTTTTTTTAAATATAAAAATCATTCAAACCTCAGATTTCTTTTGTATGTATAAAAATAATTTACCAACAAGTTTATCTGTGTAATGTTCTGTTAGGGCCTGTTGCATAGTATTTATGAAATCTCTCTTACCGATCCTCTTTTTAACGTGTACTTTTAATACTTTTCCAGGAATACCTTCACAAAGAAATAAATTTGCCAGAACTGCAAATCGAGTTTCATTTCCCTTCAAAGTTTCTAAGACACAAGTTTCATTGTTTTTATCAACAGAAGCAATATGAGTTGCATTTTTTATTTTATTTGAATTAATCATAACATTCATCATAAGCTAAAAATGTAAAAATATAAATAATAAAATAAAATTTTAAAAATCATGCATTAAAATATTATGGTATTTAAGCAAAATTTCATTATCGTATGAGTTAAGCAGTAATATATTATTAAATAAAAGAAGTGAATGAATGCTTGATTGTTTTACAAGATAAACTTATGAATAAAACATTATGCCCAATGTGCAAATGTCTTTGTTGTATTATATTAATTATTTAGAAATCAAGGATTTAGAAAATTACCTCGCAGTTGCTATTCAGATAAGGCCAAGGTCCTGCACCTGCACCGGCAACAAATGCTCTGTCCCCATACTTAAGCTCCTTTAATAAAGGTTGAATGTCATAAATTTTGTCTTTTTGAGCGAGTGGAAGTAAATATGGTGGACCACCAACATCAACTATAGTCAGTCTACCTCCAAGACCTAAAAAGCAATTAATAAATAATTATTCAATAAATTCATCAATTCAGGCATTCATGATTTATTCAATAAACAATTATCGTGATAGTATAATTCTTTTTAAATTTCAAAAATTACTTGTTAAAGTAAATTATTTACAAATATGAATTAATACCTGGAGCAGCCAAAGTGAATGGCTCTTCAGTCAAATCTGGGCAGTCAATAACTTCGACTTCAACTTCTTCAAAATTGGCTTTCAATGCCTTTATAAATACTACAATTTGTTAATTAGCAAGTAAGTAATGTATTTATAAAATGATAAATAAGGAATACTCTTAGAAAAGATTATAAGCCAAATACAAATCATTACCATTCTTAACTTCATCGAGTGTTGGAACATGAAGCTCTCTTTTAATTATTTTAACTTTATTCAAATTCAAAGTTGTCATTATTACTATTTCTTATAAAATCTTCTTTATCTACTTTGAAAATATTAATTTTCAACAAATAAAATATATAGATGATTAAGCACTTATAGCTCCTGTACTTCTAGCTTCGGTATAAGACAACAGCACCAATACTATATCAATTTCTTATCTGCTGCTCACCAGTCATAGCTGTGATAGGAAGAACCTTACTTGATAGATATATCACCCAAGGTGTGTGTGTATATATATACATATATATAGCAATACATATATGAACACACACGCGCGCGCGCACACACACACACACACATGTATATATATATATGTGCATATATGTATTTAAATATATGCATATATTTCAAATAACAGATAATGTAATTATTTTTAATTTAGCACCCATAAAATACCAGTGATTTTTATATAGTTATATGATACTCAGAAAATCTATCAACAAACATGTACAAATAGATCATATTTATTTGATTGAACAGAAAAAATAAATAAATAAATAAAAATACCATTATTATATTTATTTAGCGTGAAACTAAATGAAAGAAAATTACTTGATGTAATCAGATTTTATTAATTTTGTTATTTCATATTAATTAATATACAAATTGTGCATGTAGTTGAAACAAATTCTGTCACATTATTAATTACTGATACTTTATCGTAAAAAATCGAATAGAAAATATTACAAATATTACTAACTAATCACCTGTGCAAATTTATAAACACTTTGGATAGTTTATAATCGATTGACAGCTTTGTATTTTAGGTTGTGGTTAAATAAATAGAACTAAATCGTTAGAAAATAATTTCATATTAAGAAACTTTAATAATCTTATATGAATTAAATACGACTGAATTCGATATGCTCAAGGTGCAGCAATTATATCCGATACACACCTGTTGTTTTTGTTGAATCATATGATCGTGAGTTTCAATCATATGAGTCGACTAAATGCACATTTGCGTCTACACTTGTGTGGCGGGAAATAAAAAGATTATTTAAATATCAAAAGCTTAATTTTTAATATGTATTTGTCTAGTTTTGTTTTAACTATGATGGGAATGGGAATACGGTCTGAGCGGTAAATAGTAAACTGTTAAGATAAAAAAAAAAACAGAAAAAAAAAGAAAGAAAAAAAGAAAGAAAAAAAGAAAGAAAGAAAGAAAGAAAGAAAGAAAGAAAGAAAAACAGCGGGGCTGATAACAAAAGATGCACGTAAAGTCAGAGCATCAAGTTCGTTGAAAGCTTTATTACACATGCACAAGCGCATAATAATATGGAAAGTTTATTCGGTGGCGGTGATATTAAGCCGATATGTCGTACACTTGGGAAAACGATCGCTTTCTCCGTCTCAACTTCAACCTCTCAAAGACTTTCGAGCGACGGCCGCAGCAATGCTGTCAACAAACTCACCAGCTCACGTGCCGAAAAGAATAAACAGATGAGAACTTATTGCGCTTTGCGCCCTTCTGTTTTGATTCTGACAGTGATGGTAACGACGATAGGAGCACTACAATAGTTTCTCCCATTCTCCATCGTAATCGTTAATCATCGAAACCAACGGAACAACATTCTCAGCTCATTTTTCTGATACCGTTAGCCAGTGTGTTATTGTAGGAAAAATACGCGATAATGTCTTTATTATAATCTGTTTTACAGTCTGTTGACGTCTCGAATGTGTACTTCTTAACGTGTCGAATGACTCCACCTGGGATCGCTCATGGCATTTCCAGCGATTTGCGAATTGTATCGAGTTTGCAGAACATTTTACTGCACGAATAAAAATCCATTTTGGTGTTAAAGCATTATTGTAGATACGATGGTGGGGCTTGTAGGAACGCTGATAGGAACGCTGATAGGAACGCTGATAGGAACGCTGATAGTAACGCTGATAGTAACGCTGATAGGAACGCTGATAGTAACGCTGATAGGAACGCTGATAGTAACGCTGGTAGGACACAATCCAATGAAGGAAAACTAACTGAATTCACAATAGTAGAAGAGACAATGGATTTTAAACTATTTGATCGTTCGTTCCAAGAAAACTATCGCAAACACGAGGAGCTTGGGCATGTTGTTATATTGGGTGTTGGGTTCCATCGTATTTACGTGTATCTTGTGAAACTAGCACTACTTTAAGTTCTGCAATATTATCCAACAATTGTCGATGATTACATTTGATGAACAATTTATTCATGCGCATTGAAGAGCGTGACGGTGGCTCAAAAACACACCACAAAACGAACAAAAGGATTTTCATTTTCGGTAATTCGGTAATGACTGGATTAACACAGCTTGGAAACAATTTGAAGAGCGGAATTTTTTGTTAAGTTGAGCTAGTTTTATGATGCAAATCACGTTCGTATAATGTCTCTTATATAATGCTGCTGTCTAATCTACCACGTGCGCAGGGAGACACGACTAATGTACTGGAATACGAAATACCGACGGTAGCTTTCGTGCATCTGGTGGAAAATTCCGTAGCTACGGATTTTTGTCCTTTTCGTATATAATAATGGAGAAGAAGTGTTGAAAATAATTCCGCATTTCCTTCGTCTCTCCTCATCCTTTTCTATTCAAGGGACGCTCTTTGTGAATAAATAACGAACGTCGATACGTTACTTTACTTTTCGCGCGACTATATTTCTCCATCCCCCGTTATTCTTAATGTATCGAGGGAATCGATTGATTAGCGGTTTGGCGGCGGGACGAGGCGTGGTGGGGTGGGGATACGGGTGGGTGGAGGGGCTGTGGATAAAATATTAATAAATGATCGGCGGAGCATTGGTGGGTAGGGTGTGGGGGAGGGGGAGGGGGAGGGGGACGGGGGACGGGGGGGAGCGAATGTATCCCCAAGTGTAAGACGTATCCGCTTAATCTCACAGCCGCCGAATAAGCTTTCCCTATTGTATTATTCGCTTATGCACTTATGCGCTTATCTTCTGTTACCACCCCCGCTTGTTTTTGTTTAACACTCGCTACCGCTTGGACAACATTCCCAACAGCCTTATTATAAAATCATCTCAAATTTATTTGTAAAAAATACAAGGGACGAATTATAAAAGAAATATTTGTTTATAGTAGAAATAATTTTTTCGTAATTTCAGAAAATTGTCCACTATTAAAATTATGAAGAAAATTACAATAGATAATTCAATAATTAGTAATGACGATTATGAAATTAAAAACAAAAATACTATTTATATATTGAAATATAATTTTGCTATAATTACAATAGATGTAAATCCATTATTCAATTATAAAAAAATATGAGATTAATTATGAAACACTGAGCGAGGATAAAAATCTTACGATTAAAAATAAAAAGAGCATTTAACGCATTTTATAATCTGCAAGTGATTTAAAGGGCTATTGAGATTGGCGATAGAAAACAAAATTTTGCAATTAATGTTCAAAGCAATAGAATATTCGAGGATCTTACGTAGGTGAAATATCTATTCAATGTGCTAAATTACGTTTATTTCATTACAATCTTGTTACACTCTGATACACTTCGCTAAATAAACTGGCAATTCGCACTATTGATCAAGATCGTACACATTTTTAAGCGTACGGTGAGCGATTATAAATCCGAAATTTTATTGTCCAATCAATCTTACAATTTTTTATGCTCCATTAGAGTCACATTTAGTTCACTGTTCTGATCTAAAACGTCCGTAATTTTAAATTTACGATGAATACTCGTAAACTCTTTATTTGACATATTCCAGCAGATATTCAATAGAAATTCTTTATATAAATGTAATAGAGTAAGCACTCGATTCGCTATTACATTGTAATAAGCGTTTTATGTTCTGAATGCACGATGATTGTTAATAAACATCCGAGATAGATTCCAGCAATTTTCTCGAATTCTATTTATAGAATTATTCACACGAGTTAAATTTATTTTGTGTCGGGATAAATTATTATATCTAGTTTGGATAATGCTTCTTGTTAAAATCTCTTAGAAAATCTTTGGGAAAAAGTTATGCATATGTTAATTAAACTTTAGCTAAGGCTTGCATCATTTATTTAAACCAAATTCCTTATCATCTTTCGTCACTTGATATGCCAAAAGCCAAAAATAGGTCTGACCGTGACTTTGACCGTGGTTATTACGCAAAGTGCATTGATCATGAAGAGAACACGTACGAATGCACTAACACGTTTACCACACTACATTTTTTTTTTTCCATTAAATGCCATTCAAACGGATTTTTATTGTACATCTGTATATATATATATACACACAACAATTTTTTTTTTTTTTTTTTTTTTTTTTTTTTTTTTTTTTTTTAGTTATCAGTCAAGCACAGTTTGCTCTTTCTAATGTATGTAAAATTATCATAATGTTAGCATTTTGTCAACCAAACACGGGTGATAACGTTATTTATAAAACAACGATATTTATTCGAGTGTTACATTACATTAGTATTGTAGTTGATGTTTTTACCAGTATTTTTATTATTATCGCTAGAAAAGTCTGTATTATTTATACGTAGATATTCAATAAACGTCATTTTACGTGTAACTAACTATTCATATAGTATCAGTTCCTGTGGCTTGTAAAGTTTTGTACTTACATAAAAAATTAATTACAAGATAAAATAATAATCAAAGTCACACTCTAATTTAAAAAAGTACATTATTTAAAATAGTTCAACTACGATATTTTACAAAAAGAGAAGAACATTTTTATTTTAAAATTTTTATTTAGATCTTCCCATCAAATGTACATGCGTTATAATGGAGTCGTTAAAACACATTTTAAATTTCAGGTTTCATTCTTCGCTTTAAAAATACTCTGTATAATTTACAATGTATAATTGACAAATATATTAAAATTGAATGATCACTAGAAAAACAAGAGCTTTAATGGTGAAATTCTATTACAATAGCATTTTATAATATTAGATCGACATATTCAGTTGCTCGTTAAAGAAAGAAATTAATTATGTAATTCATAATAAATATGCCTTGTGACGTATTTTTTCCAAAACCAATTTTTCTTGAAAATTACTCACACAAATTTATACACGAGGAAAGGTTTTAACAGAACTAAAGTAAGATAATAATTTACCAGAAAATAAAAATGCGTATTCTTCGAAATCACTGTGACTATTCGATGCCGGTGATGTTTTCTATCCACTTCCGGTAGAAGGGCACGTTGGTATAGACTCCAGGAATTTCACGTAAAGCGCACTTATAGCCAAACGAGACGATTCCAACCAGGAAATTGTTTACAATAAAGGGACCACCACTGTCACCTTGGCAACTGTCCGTATGGGCATCTTGGAAACCAGCACAGAATTGATCCACATCGATGTCCGGGAACATCATGCACTTTTCCTTTCTAATGATCGGTAACATGGTCGTCCTTAAGTAATACTCCATTCTTGCTCCCACCTTCAATTGATGCGTTATAACTTAATTATAGTTATAGTTACATTCGTTAGGCACACCTTAGAACTAATTTAATTGTAACAAATAATCGTTACAATTTAATAATCGAGAATTATCGTTGATGAGTGGTGTGGTAAAGTTATTAAAATGTATTCGTTAGATGAATTTTTATAATAATTAACCGCGTGAATTTACTTCATTGTAAATTAACGGGATTTGAATTGTTTATAAATTGTTTACTATTTTAGTTTAGATAAATAGTGATTAATTGATTTTATTTAGCATTAAATTTATAGTAAGATCAATACGATCAATGGATATACGAAAATTTTTTTTTACATAAATTTTCTTTTTTTTCTTTTTTCACCACGATTAACAGCTCGTTTTACTCATCTCTAACTTATTTCAAAGAACAATTTTTTTTTCTTCTATCGATAATTTATAAACAAGCGTTATACTTCCAATTTTAATTATAACCCTGTATATTAAATAATATTATTATCGATCGTATATCATATAATATTATTGTACATTGTTTAGAATCGAATGATTAGGAACTGTAGCATTTATTCAAAGTAAAGTACTTATAAAATCTAAATAAGTACTAAATCAAGCCATTGACAATATATAAAACGGTAAAAAATTTTAACGTAACTAGTTTTTAAATAATTTCTTTTTCATTTATGTAATATTTCATTCGAAATGTTTTTATGAAATTAAAAGCATTTCTATTATATTAGTATTGCATTTGTACTTGTATAAAATTTTTTAAGTACTTAAATAAATTTCAATACTTCTATTATAGTTTCCTTAATTGTAAATCATTACGGGTTTCAAATTAAAATATATAAACTATCTACATTAAGTTTATTCATTCAACAAGATTTATTATACTAATTATGTCTAATTAATTAATAATAATAATGATAAAACAATTTATTATTACGATAATTTATGTTATGATTTAAATACAATGCATACACAAAATATATTATTGAAATGTTAATTTTAAGGTGCATTATAAAAATTTACTTTTACATTAAATTCATTCATTTGTACAATATTTGTTAACCATTGTAAATGTCAAAGTCATTAAAGTAAAATCTATATAAATAGGCTAATTATTACATAAAGTATTAATACATTTTGTCCGTATTGATAAAATATTTTGTTGTTTAATAAAAAGTGTTTCGTTCAATGCTATAGATTTTATGTTAATATTACAACATAATCTAATTGCACTTACTCACTTTTACTTATGATAGAATGTACTGTTTCTTTCTTAAATAAATGTTTCTAAATGTACATTTGTATAAAATATTAATAAGGAACAATGAGAAAACATATGTAAAAATTTATCTAACCCAAATAATAATATAAAAAGATGTTTTAATTATAAAATTAACAAAATTATTTCATTAAGTTCTTAAAAGTTTTTATTGCTCAAATATTATTAAATTGAGAAATATTGTATCTATAATGTTATTAAATTTTGCAACTTTTGTCAGAGTATAACAAATTTGCATATCTTGATTTATCAATTCAATATTTTTAATTTTTTAAACTGTAATCATAAATTTGTCAACAGTTAAAATGTTTATTTTAATAAAAAAGTTTTAAAACAAACAGTTTTATACGTGATCGAGTAATTTAACAATAAATAAATGAAATATTACATGGTTGCAATCAAAATCATTGGATTTTAATAAGTATCTTTGAACAAAAGACAATTAAGCAACTGAAGAATAATTATTTTAATGTAAAAATATTTGTCCGTCGTAAATAATAAATAATAAATCGCTTTATTTAAAATTAAAATAAAATATTTTGTTTATAAGTTTGTCATTAATAAAGAATAATTTTACTTTACAACGTATTATTAATAAATATTAGCTTAAAATATTCTTTTGTTGGGCTAATGTAATGAAACAGAATGATTAAAATGAATAATAGTGGTTAAAAAAAAAAAAAATTTTTATTCGTATCTTACTTTTGTACTACCCCAGCCAGAAATAGTTCCGCAAATTCCAGGTTTTGGCATTTCACTTTCCATTGACATTGGTTTAATAGCTGGTGAGAATGTAAATGGCTGGTATAATTTTAATAAAGTAATGTCAGCTTTATATGTTTTTGCATAATAATTTGGATGAATAATTATTTTTTCGATCTTATGCTTGCAGCCGGTAAAAAGTTTTTTGCTACCACCATAAACGTATTTCGGAGGTTTTCTGGAAACAATATATTAATATGAATTTTTCATTTTTATAAATTTATTGTAAAAATATTACTAAAAAATATGTATTGATAATTAAAATACAACCCTGATCTATTAAAATTCTTATAAATGTATCATTAAATGCTTCGAATTCACTTGAGTAATTTATTGTCATGTTGAAAAAATAAATTTTTCAAAATATATATTCAATAAAGATATAAAAATTTTTATTATTTTATAAAAAATCTACAGACTTCATAATTAATTAGTTAAAAATTTTTAAAAGACAGATCCAGCCTGATTATAGTGTAAAAACCTGGCTTCTAAAACATCCAGAAAATTATTTAAAACAAAGAATATAAATAAAGTACAACTTAATTTTTTTTTATTCAAAAAAAAAAAACAAAAAAAAAAACCTTAAAAATTTCATGTTATACATATATTATCAACACAAGGATTTTCAATTTTATATATCCGTGATAATTGTAAAAATTATGATATAAATAATGTATATTACATTAAAACAAATTAAAATATTTAATTTGTCTATTATTCGTTATGATTTCTTTAAAATGATAATAGATCAATTTTTAACTTTTGAAATAACTTAATTATAAAATACAAGACTTTTAGTGTTTTATATACAATAGATAATTGTATTTTATTTAGAGTCACGTCAACATTAAAAAAAAAAAAATGAGTCACTGAATTATTTATAAAAGTCACGGTTTCTATTATACTATATATTGTTCGTTCACTTGAATGTCTTATGCATTACTTAGTCTTACTAAGCATAAATATAGATTTTTTAATATCTGAATGACTCAATGAATCAATGAATAATTTAAGTCATCAAATAATTTTTAATCAATGTTAACAAGATTTAGTTTTAGCTTCGTTGAATGTATATGTTTATACGGTTTTTTATTTCTATGTTTTTATTTTAGAAATAAATATTATTCGTTGTAGAAAATTATATTATACAAAGCATTGTAAAATTTTAAAACTTCTTCGGATTCATAAGTGGTATCGTATAAAACTAAAGAAAACATAAATATATTTTCTACGTTAGATTTGATAATAATCTTTATATATATTATTTTTTTTATCCATGAATTCTCATACAAAATAAACAATTGTGTTCGCGCGCGCGTGTGTGATTTAAAATATAAAATGAATTAAATATCGATAAACCCATAAAAGACAGTGTTAATTTATAATTTATAAACAATATAATTATGAAGGAAAAAATTTACGAAAATATTATTTTGAAATTTTAGTACAATTAATTTGTATAATTTTTAATGAAATAATAATTGACAAATTTTCTATAAAAGAATCATGTTAAAAGAGTAATTTATTGTAATAAAAAAGCATGAGATATACGTACATTTTTAAATACAAGATAAAAATATTTTACACGACATTTTAGACATAGAAGCTCTATGGATATTCCTATATGAATTATAATCCTATAATCCTGTATGGATTGAAGTTAAGCCTAATGGACGAATATTATGAAATAAATTATATTTTATATTATGCTTAAGGCATTTAAGATTGTATTGAATTAAATGATTGTTTCATACTTAGCCATTCAAGCATCATTACTAAATATAATTTGTTTGTAAGTTATGAAAGTAATAAAAATTAGTTTGAAATAATTACATTCCATAACAATATTTTGCGACTAATGGCATTAAAAGTTAACGTGTGGAATCAAAGAGTTACATGATTGATGTCATAAAACAAAACGTATTGGATTATATACACACATGTCTTTTATGTGAGTAGACTAAAACACAAATCAATCAGAGTTTTAATACAAATTTGAATATATATATTTTATTTTTATATGTAAAATTTAATATAAAAAAAAACAAAGAATTAAATAGACAATGTAATTATATAATTAAAAATAATTATATGTTTTTTAATGTAAAACATTTATTTGCATATGATACTTTATTATAATTTTAAATTAGACCAAAATAATAGTTAAAAATGAAGTCACAATAATTAGTAACTATTTATTGTTAATAAATAATTTTTAACACAATTAAATTATTAATAAACTTGCTACCTAAATCGTAATTCAGCTGTATAAATTCACATATTATTTGCTGAAAATTTAATTACAATTAAATCTGTTTGTATTAAAATATTATGAGATTATTTTTCTTTAAAAGTATATCTCTTTACATCATGAAAATTTAATATATCTTTGTATAATACTGGCGTAAATATGATTAACTGTTAGATATGATACATAAAAATATATTATATGTCTGCAATAAAATTTAATTAATCTTAACAACGATTTGTAGTTTTTTAAATTGTTAAGAAATAAATTAATGGTTAAAAATATTACCTTAATATTCATAAAATATTCAATTATTTAGGAATATATAATAATACATAATATATTTTTTTATTTTCGTAAATAGAAATAGCAAATGAAATAATTTAAATTCAATGCAAAATTCAATTTACATTAATTAAATTTGATAAAATTAATTTTAATTAAAAAATTGTTTTATGATAGAATTGCAATTTAGAAGGCAATTAATTTAATTTGATTTTTTTTTTGTGGCTGCCATACTATTGTAAAAACCAATGGAAAAGCATTTATACAGAGTTTAGTAAGAAGTTGACCTTATTCGGCGGGTCTCTATTTCTCTATTGGTTGAGAGATTCCTTTTTAGTTAAATATTCTAACGCTAGAATTGTTATACCTTTACTTCCGCTTAATAATATTTCAAACTAAATTGTTTTCCTTGTATGCAATAAAAAAAAAAAAGCATTTAATAGAGCAATGAAAAAAAAATTATATATTTTTACGATTTTATCAGTATTATAGATATCAATTTATTTATTTAAAACATAGGATTTAATTTTCAAAAATTGTTGCCCACAACAAACTATTAATTTTATTCATGTAGATTAGTCAAAAGTAGTTATTTCCAAATTAATATTGACAATTAAAAAAAAATGTATTGCTTTTAAATTATATTCATAATGAATAGTAATATATAAAAGCTTTATCTTATTAATTACAATTAGTAGATAAAATATTTTTATTAATCGTTAAATAATGAATTTTGAAATAATTTCGAAAAAAAATTCGCACTTTCGAAATATTATTTTGTATCATTTTTAATATGCAGGTATATTAAATTCAGAAAATAATAAAGCAAATTTATCTAATTGACCAGAGCCATAATATTTTCTTTGGGCATGTTATATGACTAGCCATTCTGCAATTCTGTAAGAAATAAAACTCCTTACTGGTGACACATAAGCTCATGATTTATATGTATACACACGTGCGCAGATCCCATCCTCGTCGAGTTGTTACAAAAGATATCTAATAGATTACTTAGCATGATTTTCATTAAAAAAAAAAAAAAAAAAAAAAAAAAAAAAAAAAAAAAAAAAATTATTAACGGCGCTCGTTGATAAACAAATATTTAATTAATATTAATTGTAATATTATATCTGTATGACCAGCAGAGAACTCCAATAATTATAATATTATTTTTAGCTATTTTTTTTTTAAATATATATTAAGATTATGAAGAGATCAACGATACTCAATAATATATATCATATTTAATCATACACACGCTATGATGTCACAATTATCTCAATAATGCTGTTATTATATTGATATTATCTATCTTATCAAATTTCATTAATATTTTATTGGTCGGATTGACATGTTTTGTGATTTATGTTGAACAATTTTCTTTTACGAGCACAAAATATATAAATGGAAATAATAATTTCATTGTACATTGAAATTTGCTTTTTACATAATTTCATCTAAATGGAATAAAAATTAAAAATAATTATAAAAATGTTTCATACACAAACAAAATAAATATTATAACCCCTAATTAAGTTGTTTTTTTTTTTTTTTATATATATATCTTTTTATTCTTTATTAATTATATTTATTGACACATATTCAAATATCGTTCGTTTATTATATCCAATAGTTAACGGCACTAAAATAAATATAAAATTATTATGGATAAAAGTAAAAATGTATGTTAAAACTTATAATTGACCAACTATAAATTACCTCTATTATACTATAAAGTATTATTGATACAATAGCATTTAATATTATTTACCACAAATTAATAATATTATTAAACGAATCAATAAGCCGAACAAATAAAATATATATTTTTTAAAATATGTATTTTTGAAAATTAATTTACCAAAAATGTCAATTGAACAAATATTCTTTATTTTATGAACAAAAAAAAAAAAAAAAAAAAAAAAAAAAAAATCTATTAAATATTTAAAAATATCTACTACAAAAATAATGAATTTTATTTATTACTTTAATTAATCGTACATACGTATGAGATGTCCGTTACAGTTTCTCCTTCAAAACTTGTTCTTTTTTTATTAATATTTTTTGGCATTTAAATTGTTTATTAAAGTTAATTCATTTGAAACATTAATAAAAACATAATGTTTTGTATAATAGGAAATTTGAAAATAATAATTTATTTTCAGACAGTTATTTTAGTAAACGCTATTATCTCGCCATTTTCGGTATATTTGAAACTCTCATAGATAAATGCTCAAGTTTTAAACATAATGAATAATAATAATAAAAAATTCTTATACTTTACAGTTTGCATTAAATTTTTGTATTAGATTAATTAATAAAAGTTATCTCTGCCAAAGAAAATGCACTAAAGATTGGCCGTATTGTGCAAATTTTATTGGAAAGTTTGCTTGCCTTGCTTATAAGCTTTTACATACGAGAAAGAATGGAAATGCGACGTTGTCATATCTTTACTCCCACTTAACATTTCAAATAAAATTATTTAGCTTATGTATTGAAAAATAAAACCGTTCCTCCTGGAAGACTAAAAACTACTAATTATTTGCGACTTTGTTGGTTAAAAAAATATTTTCTCATTTAGATTAATGTAGCTCGTCATTGGAAATTAAAATTGCCAATTTTTCTAAATTTACACGATGTCTGCAATTACTTTAAGATTATGGAATTATTTTGAATTTTTCAAAACTGACGAAACCGTAATTTTCTTTTCTTTAATTGTACATATGATTCACATATGTATATACGATGATTTGTATATTAATATAATTTTTACTCTATAAATCATTGCTTTTAAATGTTAAAAAATTGTTTTTCTTTTTTTTTTTACATAAAAGAAAAATAAAAAATAAAAAATATATATATATATATATATCGATAGTATAATGTGAATGATAGATAGGTTAATTTTTTCAATTTATATTTTTCTCGATGAAGAAGTAACGAAAAAGATTAAAAATCCGTCATTTAAACATTCGGATTTATAATCATACATATATGAGCTTTTATTTCAGAGTCTTATATTACTATTTCGAATGTGATTATTAAGTAATTGATTAGCTTCTTTTTATCTTTATGTTAGCTATATAGTTAGAATAAAAAGTTTGATTTCTCTAATTTTATTTTTAATATGAAAAAAAAAATGACTTTTGTTAAATATTAATAGCTTCGTAAGAATTGCCGAGCTAAGTATATTATATATATATTTATAAAATTAATGTACGATACTTTTACATTTTAATTTTTAAAGCAATTTCAATTGTGATTATCTGTTCGAAGGCAATTCTTAATCAATGCAGATAATGATTTTCCATTAGTATTCAACTACTTCATTTCTGCTATATATATATATATATATATATATATATATATATATATAATTATGATAACTATTGCTATTTCCTTTTAGATCGCTCTAACATGACAATTAATGACATAAAAAAAAAAAAAAAAAAAAAAAAAAAATAAATAAATGTACAATAAATATGCTCTTTTACAAACATTTTAATAATTGTTAAGCGTAAAAAAAATTATTGGCCTTTTAGCTAGATAGCACCGGAGCTCTATATTTTAATGCAAATATATGTTAGATTAAACATATAGTATTGCTTGATTTTATTCTTACTATAATAAAAGAAAAATATGTTTTGATTTTATGAGAATTGGCATACACATATAGCGTGGAACTATCGATTATTAACATTATATTGATAAGCAAACAAAATGAAAACAGCAGACTAGTAGAAAAATGAACGCACTCACTCACTACCGGGTGAAATAGTAAAAACCTACGTAAGAAGCGATTATAAAATTTTTAATATTCAATAAAGGTTGGAGAAAAATATTGGACAATAAGCATTATACATGTAAATATAATTAAGAAGACCTCATCCTTTCCCATCTGTTAAAGCGCAACATTGGCTTGCTATGGGTGCCAGTATGGTACCCGTAAGCACACCCAATGCCAATATCCCACCCATTGGCAAAGTACCACAAGTAATTAATGAAAGTAACAATTGTCTCACAAGCCGATGCAATGGGCAGCGGTTACGATCCATATGTTGCTTATAATGGTGCCAGCGCAGCCCGTGTCGACGAACACTATGTAGGGTACGTCCTCGATGTTGTCGACCGAAACCCCGCCGATGATCCGCCTCGTATGGACGCACGCATTCCCTCCGTCCAAGATCTCGCGTTTCCTTCGCTTTGACACCGACGTCTCGGCATGGCCGTCATCGCTGAGACTCACGTTTATTTGGGTGTTCACGACGACAATGAGGGGATGACGGCGCTGGTCCGTGACGACTTTGTCTGCCCATGTGTCACGCTGGACGGACGAATTTTCATTCAGATTTTTATTTACATGACAGCCATCCCGAGAGAAAGGTTTCCCTTCGCGAACGCGTTTCAGCTCATTCGACAGCTTTGGAAGCGTAGAAGACGATGTTTTTCATTACCAAACGACCATCGCGATTATTACGTTGGTATCGAATGGCTGATGCATTCATTCGAAAATTAATAATTTTACAGAATATTTAGATTTTTAAATAAATTTTAGAATTTTAAAATTTTAGAACCTTTCTTTCAGGATTCACGTTTGTATTATCGTAGTTGTGCTTTAGTTGGATTAAGTTTGAAGGTGCAATGACTCTGTTTATACATGTGCTTATCTAGGTTTTATTTTATAAATAAGAAATAATTAACTGGGAGGAATGTAGATTCATTTCGTATTGTAAGGCACTTGATATTTTATTGAACCTTTTAGTCTTTTATATGTGAAATTCAATTTCATTTGCCAAATAATGGAGAGCGGGATACTATTAATGTTTTGAAACATTATCTATCCGTTATTAGGTATAATCGTATTATTTATTATTATATATTTAATAGAGAAAATACATCCAGTGACATATAACATCGGATATTCTGTTATAAAAATTTGATATTAATAGCAAATATTACATTGATTTATTACATTAATAATTAATAATAAACCATTGAATATTCATTCAAATTGTTCAAATTTACCATTTAAATTTATGTAAATAATAAATTGCGCTTGTACATTAAATTTAATACATTTTCTTTATTACATCTTTTTGTTCGACTTTTGCGCGAGTATCCTTGCATTATATGAGATCGAGTACCTTATGAATATTCTTAATCGTATTCGTATTAAAATATCATTAATTTTATTAGAAATAATCGGAGGAGCATTAGAAGTGATCACGTATGAGAAAATATGTATGAGTAATATTCGTATGCGCGCGTTTATATATATATATATATATATTTTTTTTTTTTTTTTTTTTCGATATCGAATCTACTCTACTCAAATAGCCTATACGGTTAGAGTTAACTGTTTTTGGATTTTATTACGCAGAAGCTGCATATATTTGATATTCATTTATATTGAATTTGTGTAATGGTAATGCAATTTCTTGATTACCTTCATCAGTTTTTTCATTTGTTTTTCATTTGGAATATATTTCAAATTTCAAAATTTATGAAAAGTAAGCTTAAAATCTTTCTGTTCCTCTTTCTTTCTTCTTTTTCTTATTATATTTAGTTCATATAATTATTCCATTTATTTTTTTTTTCTCATTTCATCTATATACGCACATACATGCGTCCGCTCGCAAGCCCACCTTGATACACACGCGCGCGCACGCACTCACGCACTGACGCACGCGCTCACGTACAAAACAACACCATGTATTCGCGTACGTATACACATAACAAATCGATACATTTGGACGCATATGCAAATCGTCAGACACTCAACTAATGGAAAATAAAATACTGATAGTAATATTCGTAGAATTTTGCATTAAGAATAATACGAAATCAATCATATTTCCAAAATAAAATTTTTAATACTTACCAATTAAATTATTGTATAATATTTTAAATTATATTTGTGACCGTATGGAATGGAATATCTGAACTTCCGTTATGTACATTTTTTTAATATCAAATATAGTAAATTAAGTTGCCAGCATCAACATGAATTTGTAAAGTTTGATGTTCTTTATAGCAGAAATTTATACTTTGAATATTTGTTTTTAATTAACTTCGAGTACTTTATTTAATATATATAAATTTGTTAATGTTGATGTATGCAATATCATTCCGATCATATTTTTTTGGGTATTTTGAAACCTTTTTATAACAGATTTTGAAAATACTAACAAGTATGAATATCTTTTCAAATATTCTTTATAGTCTTTAGAAAAATATAATAGAATATTGATTAAAAATAGAGAAAAACTAATACAAATTATAATTTACCAATACGTAATATTAGGATTTTAATTATTTTTCTCATAATTTTATTTACTCGTATTAAAATTTGTAGTCGCAATTGATGAAGTAATTAACCATTAAATATAACATCCCAGTAGTATTTCATAATGATTTGTAAACTTTTATAGAGAAATTTCGCAGCTCGAAAGAAAGTGTGTACAAAAGTTTCAGCTAATATGCAGTTGTAAAGGAATTGAGATATAATTGCTAATTTATAATAAATTAACACCATCGTTTCAATTATTTTAATATTAAAAATGTTACTTACCATTTCATCACTAGAGACCTGTTGACTTGATAATGAATGTTTGTTGACACTCATCTGAGGCTTTTTAAAATCTTCATCAGCAATTTCTACACTATTTTCACCACTACTATCATTACTACTGTCACTATATTGTTCGTTGTTGTCATTCATTTTATACGGTGATATATACATGCTTTTACCTTGGATATTATTTGTATCATTTGTGTCTGAAGATAAACTAAAAAGTGACGTTGACACGATGTACTTTGAACGATATGCATCATCGCAATACATTTCCGTATCGTGCAGATTATCTGTCGTACCTAAGATACAAAAAAAGAAATAACGTATTATATATTTAATTATATTACGTGATTTGAAATAGTTGATTTATTATAAATGTAAATAATTCATATTAAATGTTATCTACATGATATTTTCCCATCTCGTTCATTCGGCATCAAACTTCTGAGTATATATACAAATATTTCGAGTACATGTTAATATACGGCATATATAAATACTGCATATACCTGATGTAACTGATCGCGAAAAAATTATATAAATCAATCTAGTTAAACGGCGTATATTTTATAAAATATTTTTGATTTTAAAATTTTGACGACTTTCAACTTTCACAAATAATAATAAGCACAGAATAAAAATAATATAGCTATACAGACATTATATAATTGAAATACACGATTGAAATTTATAAATTATAATAATAAATTCAAGCGATTGAAAAGTAACATAATTTTGCATTTTTTAACGATATAATAATAATTATTGTGAAAATTTTCTTAAATTATAGTTATGATTTGATAGTTAAATGGATGTATTTAACAATTGCCTTTAAAGATAAAACCTTTTAAATTAATGTAAAATTGCTTTAAAATTATTATACTTATATTCTTAATACATCTTATTTACAGCTAAAATCATTAATTTATTAATACATTTTTTTATAAATAATTTTATTTATATTTATAAAGAACGTATCACAATAAAAATCATTATTACATCTAAAGCATCTTTTCGAAAGAATTTATGTTTATCTCTTACTTTATACATGCTATTCTTCAAGATTTATGCCTTATCATAAAATTCTTTAATTTTCTTTTTTATTCGTTCAACATTTAAAATTAATTTAAAAAAATTAATATATTTTACAATTAAATCCTGTATTTTCAAAGTTTTTCTTACTTAATAATGTCTGCTAATAATGTCTTTTTTTTTTTTTTTTTTTTTTTTTTTTTTTTTTTAAATAATTCATCATTACAAACATCTGTATTCATTTTAAGTAGGTTAAAAAAATAATAATTTAAACAAATGTTAAAAAAAAAAAAGTTGATTTTTAGTATGCGTACCTTCCAAAATCAATAACGTGAATAAAAACCAAAGAGAAACGCATGTTGCTCTCGAGAGCATAATTGCAGAATATTAAATCGCTGCATCTTTTCGTCTTGAGGCCAAGAGACGCAGTTAGAAAACTTTAATTTTTACACGGAGTCATATAAATCACCTGTCGAACTATAAAATTTCGAAACATGAGATCACGTTTCCACCTTCCAAGTGCTCGCGTGTTTACTCTTTAAATTTACGGCTATTTTCATTTCATTTAGTCGGTTTTTAACGAGTTTTTTTTGTTTACATTTATTTTTTATGCACAAGGCTCGATTACTATACAATAATATAATAAAAATTTATAGAAGAACATTTACATTGATGATAATGACGTCTTTATGAGAGATCATATGTGGCGCATAAATTTGTTCAAAGCACTTTTATTTCCATCATTTGCACCCTTGATAAGAAGTTGTTTAAATAAATTGTATATATCTTAAGTATTGAATATAAATGATGCCACAAAAAATTAAATTGAACATTTTTAACGAAACATTACAAAGAAGGCTTGAGAATTTTTTCAAAAATTTAAATATCAATATTTTAATTATAATTTAATATAATTTAATATAAGAAATCTAATCTTCAATATATATTAAGAATTCATATAAAATAGTAATTTTATTACAATTGATTAATTGCAAATAGAATGCCACTTTTATTTCATAAATAATTAATTTGTATTTATACTAAATTTAAATGAACAGTGACCTTATTTTGTTTGAACTGAAGGTAGGTTGCGCATTAGGTTTATTCCTATGATAGTAATTAATGATAGGTATCCTGGGATATTATTGAATAAAAAATATGTTGTTCGCAGAGTTCATTGTCCACTACTTAATTGAATAATAAAAAAAACCTGTCTGTGCAGTCTATGATATTTAAATATTGTTCAATTTTACATACAATCCTTTTATTAAAGAATTTGAAATTTTTTTTAGCACATTAATCATTAAATAATATTTTATGTATAAAATATCAATTGTTTATCATGAATATTAATGTGGATAAATAAAAATGCTTACAGTTAGTTAACCTTCCAAGCTTGAACAATAAAATTAATCTATCGATAACTGGTAATTAATATTACAATTCAGTTTTATTAATGTACACAAAATCCAAATATGATTGACAATGATAATAATTGATGTGCATAGATTTCGTCATATAAAAATGCACTTGTAGCTGTTTGTAAGTTGGTCATTTAAAATTAGCGCATCGGCATAATCGCGCGAATAGACTGAAATGAAGTGTAGTCGTCGGTATTAATATGAATCCAGTTGCAGGCGAAATCGTTTTACTTACTGGTGAGACATGTTTTTCTATTTAATAGGTCATGATAATAAAGTTATTACATTATCGTATTAAAATAGATTTTCAAATAGATTTTCAAACTATCCCCGTTAAGTCGACAAATTGTTTATTAGTTATTTTGTAAGAAAAGAGTATGTGAAATTCAAACCGTTAAGCAAGTAAAATAAAGTGCAATTGATAAATAAAAGGATATCGTCGGTCGAAGTATCTATTTGTTAATTTGTATATTTGAAAGTTCCACGATTCAATCGGTTGCCCTCCTAGCCCCTCTTTCACCTATTATTAAATATATTGCTCTCATGCATATATTTATTTTTAAGGTTCCAGTGGTTTTTTGGGACGGCATATTTTGAAATTCCTACTGGAGGACGATGTTGTCTCAGAAATTAGAGCTCTTGATAAAGTGCAGGCATGCAACAATAACAATAACGATTTGAGCTATAATGACACGAAGGGTAAGTTGAAGCTATACGAGTGCGATTTAGTGAATTTGGAATCTTGTCGGGAAGCTTTTCGAAACACCCACGTGGTATTGCATTGCGCTGGATTTGTAAGCTACGATTATCCTGCAAACGTAGATGAACTCCAAAAGAATAACGTTCAAGGTAAAGAACCTTCTATTCGTACATTTATTTTTATTCATTTTAATCATGATATTGCGATTAAATAACAATAGAGCACTGAAAGCATATCGACAGTTCCATAAATCATAATCACATAGTAATTGGCTAATGTAACATTTTAGTAATGATATTCATTACATGTTTAATCATATAAATATTGTGATTTAAACAAATATGTTTTCATTATTGACATAATTGGCACAGGCTCATAGAAATGATGTTTCTTATATTTATAAATTCAATTGTTTGTGCTAATTTATTTCGAATTGATTAACAAATTCAATCACTTTCATTTATTATATGTAAATTATCAATTAAATGAAAATTAATAAAATAAATGATAAGATTAAACAATTATTATTTAAGCAGTAGTTATAAAATCATTAGATTGTTTATATTAATTGTTGGATGAAAACTTCTAAGAGTTGATTTATCTTTAAACAATTTGGAGTTTGAAGCTTTTAATTTCATTTATAAATAAGCAATTAAGACAATTTATTCATTACATAAATAAACTATGTAAAAGAGCTTTTTTTTTTCTTTTTTTGGTTTTTTTTTTTTGTTATTTTTTTTTTTTTTTTTATCACATCAATATTATTTCCGTAGCTACTGAAAACGTCACTCAATTGTGCATTGAAGAAAACGTTGGTCGATTGGTACATTGCAGTACAACTGAAGTGACATTACAATCGTGTTTCAAAGCTGGAATCGTTGCTATTAGTATTTATAAGCAAGAATCGAAAATAGAAATTCCAGAAAACGATAAAAGATTAATATTTGGAGAGTATGCTGCATCAAAACTTAAAGCAGAGCAAATTGTCATTAAATCTAATGGGAAATTACTGAAAAATGGTAGAAAATTATCATTGAACCTCTTAAGCGATTTAATGATCCTTGCACGAATGAGCATATGTTTTTATTTATTTTTTTTTTCTTCCTTTTTTTTTTTTTTTTGTCTGTTTTTGTTTGTTTTTGTTTGTTTTTGTTTGCTTTTCAATAAACTAAATGAAATTTTTATGATGAATTTTTATAACAATATGCTTTTGCAAAACTCAACGAATGTTATTTTTTGTGTGGATTTTTATAAATCGTGAACCATCCTGAAATATTAATTAAATAGAATTTATGAAAAATAAGCAATACTTTTTTAACGCATAAAAATTAAATATTCAACAATAGTAAATGACATGTATTTTTTATAGGAAAAGGCCAACTTCGTACGGTTGCGTTACGGCCGACGTTACTTTACGGGGAAGGTGACCCACATTTGCTTTCAATAATTCTGCATGTGGCAAAGAATCGAGGTAACTGTTTGCCCAGACTTTCAGGAACCGGTGGTAAACAACAAATAACTTATGTAGGTAAGTTTCGGCTGCGGACAAAATACAATGTGAGCGCGTGAAAAAATATCGTATCAAAGAGTAGATTAAGTAATAATAGCTTATACGATTAAATCAAAATACATTTCCTTTATACTTGAAATTTAATCATTTCATTATTTCCATTAGCCTTGATTTTAGAACTTGATTGATTGAAATAAAAATATTAATCCTATTAAACTGGCAATATTCTCCAAATAATTATATTTATTACAGCAAGCAACCACCCATAATTGTAGATTAAAAAATGCATTTAACTTATGAAATATAGTTATAGACTAAATGTCGTGAAAATTAAGATATAATTCTTATTCAATAAATGCTTCGGATTAATGAAAGAGCGTCCTATTACATGAGTAAAGTATCGATTTTAAGAGAAATCAATGATTTGTTCCCCTAAGAATTAATCGCACACGCTCGACGAACCCTATTGTCTCATGCCAAGTGAAACAATCTCGCGCAAATTCCCTGTATAATCGGGGCGAAGCGACATTAAAATTAACCCATTTGTTAAGGAAATGCCGCGTGGGCCTTCCTCCGTGCTAAAGACACGTTGCAAAAAACGCCCGAAGCTATCGCTGGATTGCCAGTGACAATAACTGACGACACGCTGGTCGAAGACTTGACTCGATTTTGCGAACGAATAACAAGATCCGCTAAAAACTGTATAAAAGTCTCCACCTGGCCCCTGCCTTTTCTCATATCATACGCGGGCGCTTGGTTCTTGGAGCTCCTCTTAAACATCGGCTTTTTCAGGAAATTTCAGGTTTGTTGGAAGCCGCCTCTGCTTTGCGATAAATTAGGAGTATTAAACAAATGGCTAAAGTAATTCGATGAAGCAATTTTTTTTTTTTTTTTTTTTTTTTTTTTTTTTTATGGAAAACTTATTGATTGAGACTGTGCATAAAATACGCACAAAAAATAAAAACTATTTATCCCTTTAAAGTTAAATGTTTAACTTTACATTAGTTATTTATTCATTCAATTAATCATCCTTTTTAGCTGTTTATCATTCCGAAGAAATTCAAAACGAATTAAAAAGGAAATAAAAGACTTACTCTATTTATCTATATAACATTTTTATCTAAGATAAAATATAATAATAAAATATAGACGATAAGAAATTACGGTTACATACAAAATTAGTGATTACTTTATCAAATATAAAATAATATTATTAGTTTTATACTATTATGATTGCCGCCTTAATTGTTAAAAATCAATTACATATTCTTTTGTAAGCCGCCTATTTTTTTTTTTTTTTTTTTTTTTTTTAATAACCAATTCCTTTTTACCTTAGAAAATTACAAATTACACAATTTGATTATTAGAGGTTATTATAACTCGTTTTATTTATTTATCGACAACCAAATTGAAAATAATTTTCGTACTGTTCATACACAGGTATCACCGCGCAGCCTCGTTGCTTTTTTAGGTTCTATAATTCTCTATAATAGAGCTCGAGCTTCGATCCACATGAATTATTGGCCAAAATATACACATGACCAGACATTTGCCATAGCATCCAAGTATTACGGTGAACTCTGCAGTGAAAAATAATAATTTCTACAATAAAAGAGATAATTTTGTAAAATAAAAATATTTTTAAAACGTATTGGTTTTTAATCCATCTTACCCATATATATATATGTAATAAATTTATGCTACTTCTTCGAAAAATATACTTGTATGTCGAATAATAAAATCCAACAAATTAGATAAATTTTACATATTCATTTTTTATTACTTTTATATTTACAATTGTTTGTAATTTTATCTTTATTAAAATAAAGGTGACTGAATTTCAATTATATAATTTCTTAAACATTACATAAAATTAATTAATTAACATTCTTACTTATTAAATAAAAACTTTATATTTCCTTTTAATTACAAATAATAAATCGTAACAATAATAAAATTAGTAAAATAAATTTACATAAGCTCCCTTGCAGGCATATTTTTAATAATTCTGTTGTATACGTTTTAAATAACTTTTTTGTTCAATAGAAAGATACTGTAATTTAAAACATAATGCTTTAATTTATCAATTTGATTTGTTTGAAAATATTTCTTTACGTTTATGTAAAATTAATTTTAAAATTAAGAATTTATCTTACTTTCTTAATAATCAATCATATAAACGTTGTTTCAGTTAATTAATAATATAAATTTAATAAATAAATAAGCAATGTTTTATTATCAGAATTTTATTACATATATGTGAAATACTTTAAATAACAATAAAAACTGAGTGCAAGGGCCTCTAGCCCCTTGATGCACGTCTACACCATTATTGTCTGATTTTACAATATGCACAGGTGCAGAAAATCACTTCTTCCGTAAACTACAATTATTATTCTTCGTTTTTCAAAACATTAAATACAATCTATACGCATCCAATGATGAAGTATTTTCTTCATATTGAAATATTCGACATTCGAATAAGTGCTTGGTGACTAGCCGCTAAACTTAATAAGATATCAATACACCCCTACGCATTATATATCCTATAATTTTATAAGTTAAACAATAAGTATATGTATTTATATTTAATTTTTAAACTACATAGCTAATTAATAATCACAAAAAGTACATATATTTGCAGCATTAGCTTATTAATTAATTATTAAATTGATTAACATGCAACGACTACAAACGTAATTGTATACAGATTTACGCATGCACACATGCATGTTTAACAGTAATTAAATCTTACAAATGCTTATATATATACATGTGCACATACATATGCAATCATTACATGGGAGAATTCAAATTAAATTTCATTCGCATGATGCAATATAATTTGTAAAGCATTTATTCAAGTTATATTATTCAATCTCATTTCTCGATTAAATGGACTTTAATTTAATCATATTCTTCTGAAAATTTATGAAAATGATTCATGAAAATTTTAAAATCTTTCAACTATAATTGATGATTAATAATCGTGATTAAATGTATTTACAATATACGTGAAAATGAAATAAAACTCTTCCGACTCTTCCATTTCTTTCTGCTCTATTCAAACACGGTAGAATTAAAGCAGCGCACGAGGTCATGTTTTATAAGTACTTGATTTATATGTTTTTTTTTTGTTGCTTTTTCGAAACATTTTCAGTTAAAATGTATTTAATTAGAATTGATACATAGTCTAGTTCAAGAGCTTGTTTGCATGTCGCATCAAACGAAGTACAATAAGTTTTAAATTGTATAGATGAACATCCCACCAACATTTAAAAAACTTTAGCATAAAACAACAAAAATCAGTTAATTGACGCTTCTCTATTATTAAACACTATAATCTTATATTATTTAGTATTTGCCTCTTTGGCATAACAAGAATGAATTAACAATAACCTCTTGCGAGATCAAATTCCGAATTATTTAAATCTATAAACTGCTTTGATCCATTGAAGCAGCCTAACATTTACGAATCAAGTAATTTTCTGTTCTTTCCGATAATATTAAGGCAATTAAAATATAAAATAAATATATAATATCATGTATATAAATAATCAAAATCAAAACTATGTAAATATAAAATTAAGACTTTCGCGTATTGATAAAAATTATAATATACATTTTAAAATAATATGTAAATAATGTCATTATTAATTATTTTGAATAATTTAATTTAAAAATAAACTGCTTCAACGAATGAGACCCTTCATTTATTTTTTATTTTTTAGTTATTGTTATTTACTTTTTTATGTAAGAATACATAATATAGCAATTTGTATACCATTGCGTACGCACATAAAATTAATTACGTAAGTCTTTCATTACGTTCCATACAGAATATAAGATTTTGCAAAGTATTGCGTTATAATTACTACAATAAAGTGAATAATAGAACTAGGCACGTAATTGGCGAAGTACACTCTTGCACTTTCTTTTGTTAAAATCCAAATCATTACTTAATTAGAATAACTCTATCGGCTTCCGATCAATTTAATTATAAAACATTTTACTCTTGTAATTCCATTACCAATGGAACACGAGAACCTACTGTAAAGTCTTTATATTGAGAAAATACACAGATCTGAAAGAAAGTTTATTAAATTTGATTGTTATGAATTTCTTAAAATATTAATCAATGAATGTGATTAATACCTTGTCTTTTAATCTTTGACATAATTGTAATGCAATTGTCAGTAATACAAGTCCCTCATTAAGCCATGGCACACTACATTCAGCCTGCTGAGTTTCATATTTAACACTGCCATGTGCATTTTCTAATTGATAAACCGCAAGTACCAGCTTGTAGCTTTGAATATAAAAACTAATTGCTAAATTTTCGGGTAAATTTGGATTCAAAGATTTCTATGGAATACAAGATAATTTGAGATTCCATAAACTTTTTATATATTAAAATATAATTAAGTACAAGATTTATTTACCATATTGCGACTCTTAATGAGATCATCTAAATTCTTTTTTCTGGGGACAATTAAACTTGTTCTACTACGTTGTAAACAGCCTAAAATATTACCTAAAACATGCATAACTTCATCGGAAGTCTTAAATGAGTAATGTCTGTCAACATTATCGATGTGCGCAATTGCCTGTTGTAAGTGGTTGGCAGCATCTTGAATCTGCTGTAATTTCCATGGGTGATCATTCTGTATACTTGTTCTCATATTTACATTTTGTTGTCGTTGAACTTTAAAATTAACTTCCTAAAGATATTATTAAAAGGATACAAAGGGATAAATAATTAATGAAGTATAATCGATAGATTAGTTTGATTAATATTTACAGCATTTGTAATACTATCACCAGTAAGAACAACAACACATTTGACTTGGTCGTGATGACCAGCAAATACAAATCTGTCAGTCTTATTTTGCTGATCGTTTCCAAAGAGAGTCAATGGAAATCGTTGCGCACATTCCTAAACAGAAGAATAAATCTTTTAAATACTAAAATTGACAATTTACCAATCATTAAAAAAAAAAAAAAAAACTATTATATAAAAATGGCGATTGAGCATTGTTAATGTTATTTAGTTTATACCGAATGTCTTTCATTTTATTAAATTTTTTTTATTTTTCGAAAATGTTTGAAAAACCTAAAAGAGATATCTACTATTCTTAAAAATATATTAGCATGGTATTATAAACAAGATATATCGATACGATGTTTAAATGTATATATTTTAAAATCATTATTTCTTTTGATTAATAATGAAAGCATAAGAGACATTAGAAGAATAACAAACAGAATGGTTCGGATATCAAATTAAATTCATGAAATTTAACGAAATTGCATATAACAGGTTCGATCTTATTCGGATACTTAAAATCCTTGTTGTTCCAATCAAGATGTGGACAGAGCAGATTTTTATTCAGCTCACCATTAAAATATTGCGTAACTGCGATAGCGACGAATGAACTTCCTCATGCAAAACCCATTCGAATTCCATTTGCTATAAAAGGAAAAATTAATACATAATGCTTCGTTTGATATCGTGAAATAAGCGAAATGCAAAAGCTACTACAAATAGATAAGCTTTATTTATTTACGCGAAGTTTTGAGAGATCATTGATTAGTTGGTTTGCCTCGGGCAAAATAAACAAAAGATTGATTTGTGTTAAAAAGCATAATAAGGTAAAAAATACGTCTACACGTATATATATATATATATAAATATATAAATATATAAATATATATATATATATATTGTGCAGAAATATGCATACAAATGTTTATATATTATATAAACATTGCATATCAAATAATCTTTTGTACGATTAAAAGACGATTTTTTTTTTAAACGGCAGCTGGGGAATGCTTTTGGCGTAGTTTAAAATTGAGTTTGAGAAAAGATAATCGATAACGGGTGGACGGATGATGGCCGATTGACACAAATCAACATAACCTCTCGCGAGACATAACTCTTTGGATTTTGCGCGCGCCTTACCAAATTCCTTCTTTAAGCGTACGTTCCACGAGATAATGACACAGGGCGCCCGACTATCTCCCGGGGGGGATAAAAGCGGGCCGCTCGCAACGCACGAGAGCGAAGGCACCGGAGAAATAATGATTAGATAAAGGCTGATCAAAGGCAAATTGCTTACGAGATTGTGAGCCTCCTCCTTCTCACAGTCGGCCATTTTCAGCAGTGCTGCCTCCATCTGTTCTCTCTCCGCCTTTTCCCTTGGCTTCCTGCAAGCGATTAATCGTGGCGGGCTAAAGTGAGTTCATACACGAAGGATTGCCTTACATTGACGCGTATTATGCGCCCGAGCGTGAGGTCAACTCCACTTGTTTGCGCTCGTCGGCGAGAGCACGGGGTATGTGCGAAATTGCGAATCCGCGAGATATATTTTTTGCAGTCGCTCGATACGAATTGATTATGTCTTGAAAGAAAAATTCTTGCCCTTCCTTTTCCAGTTCATTGCATATGCCCGTGCATATACGTACGCACGTACGTACGTGCATGCATGCTGTGCAATTTGAGTATTTATGTACTTTGTAGTTCGCAAAACTATATGTGTTACAATAATAATGATAATAATGATAATAATAATGATTGGGTATGCCGTTCACAGCTAGCGAAACTAATTTCGATACAGTATAAACTTTATTTTTAATGTAGTATAAAAATATCGCAATCCACATGTATATGCCTGTATATGCGCACACTTACAGGGAACATTAATTTTATTTCTAAAATATTCTAGTTATTCAATGATTATGTGATACTGCTTCATTTGCTTTGAATGCGTAATCGCTATTTCTATAATATAGAATTTATTCAATTTGGAAAGTCGATGGCCATGAAAGTAAACAATTGCCATTTAATATTTATGGGAAAATGCATACAGCTGACATTATTTTTATTTTTATTTTTGTTTTGTTTTGTTTTTGTTTTCTTATGTTTTAGTTATATTTAAAATTGATTGCATTACTCGTATATTTACATTGTATCAGCATTTTGATAATACAGACAATAAGTATTTGTCATTTCTTTATAATTCAAAATATCGTGTGTTGTAATAATAATTGGATGTGTCCATCACTGCCGATGTAACTAATTTCAATAAAATATAAATGTATTATTTTCAATATTAGCTTTTAACATTAGTATAAAAATGGCAGGATAATATATATATATCGATAATATATATATTTATTTATTTATTTATTTATTTATTTATTTATTAAAAAATGTTTATCATAAAGAAATTATTTATATTCAATTTATACCGAGATTAATACATCGAGTTTTGTTTTTAATCAAAATAAAATAAGTATGTCTACTTTTATGATACAGTATACGACCTCGATAAATATTTGCTATTTGTTTTGTTTTACATTCTTTATTGAATAAATAAATATTTTTTATTGGGCTTAGTCATGCAAAATTTTAAACACGACTGTACGTATCGCGAAGCTCTTAGGGACATTAAATTCATAGGGATTCTCTCTTTTTTTGTTTATAATATTATCACTAAGATAGTATATATACACTTTTTAGCAAACACATTATCTGAATATTCGATTCAGATGATAAATTTCGATTATGAACGTATTATGATTCAAAATATGTTTATCTGAATAAAATTTATAACATACCAGGCCATTCGTTAAATTTAGTTTAATTATTATTAATCATTTATTGTAAATTTATAATAATCGCTTATTAGTATGATTTATCGATTTATATTTATTTCAATGAGATTGTTTCGTCGCATATTTAATGTAGACAGAAATTTTAGATTATTTATGCAGGTTCAGAGCGCAGATTATTCCATACAAATATATCTAAATGTATATGTGTACATGGGCACCGATAAATAAAAACAAAGGGGGGGGGGGAGTAAGAGAAAATGTTAAGACTTTTGCGAACATCATAGATTGATCGCAAATTCTTGAAACATAAATTTCATTTTATCATTTATTTATATTATTCTTTAATAGAAAAAAAAAAAAATGCAATGTGCTTTTCAAAAACGTTACTTCAGCAATGCAAAATGATTTTATTAATTAGGCGAATAAAAGAAATGGTAGTTTTTTTAATAAAATTTAAGAATTTTTATTGTTTCACCATACGATATAATAATTAAATAAAAGAATTTCGAACAATATATTTATAAATCGAATATATTATTTCTAAAAGTCATTAAGAATAACACGAAGAGCACACATAACCTTTAAAATTTTGTTTAAAATACCTCTCTTGCCAAACTTTTGGATACAGCAATTTTTTAAATTATTTTATTGCCAATATAAAATGTAATATATATTATATTTATATTTTTCAAACTTATTGATTCATTTGGCTTCATTCATATTAAAAAAAGAGAAAACGTGCCTATTAATTTATATATCACTATGCTGAAAGCGAATAGTTGGAAACAATATTAATTAATTGATTACGTCTAAGAAAGAAGAACAAAGTTCAAATATTTTTTAACACCATTCTTTTTTAACATCATTCATAATCATAAATGATACTTATTTAATCCATAGATCATTCGAGATATTTTAAATATAATGAAACATATATAAATGTAATGAACTCAAAAATTAAAAAGAACTAGGCAGATTTACTATTACATGGCTTTGCTACAACGAAGTACGGCAATGAAGTTAGATTGATTTAAAAGAAAAGTAAACCCCAATTTTAATCACTTGTGAAAATCCCTAGACCATCCCTAGTATATTTATATAAATTTCTCCTGTAATATGCACTAACATTTTTTTGTAAATATTCGTAGCATTAAGATTTATTTATGTCATACAATTTTTCAATATATAAAAGTATGCAAAGTTATCATCATGAACATTTGATATGTAACACTGACGATGATATATGAAATACTTAATTGTATATCGAAATTGAAATAACGCACATAAAAAGTTATGAATTTGATTCGCTCTTTCTCGAATATAAACACTTGAATGAAATACTTATTAATTAAAGACTTGATTTTAAATAATTTAAAATAAATGAATGTTTAAATAGGATTTTACGAACTTGTTTAAAATTATATATTTTGCGTACTTGTGATTAAATAAATATTTAAGTAAAATTAAGTATTAAAGCTTTCAATTTAAAACCGCTTAAAGTAACAATACATCACGTGACTTTACTCTGTGTTGTTTTAATAAAAAAAAATCAAGTCAGGGTAATTAAAAAATGATTTCTACATATATATATATATATATATATATATATATATATATATATATATATATGTATACACATCCATATACATACACATACAAATATCTATATATATATATCTATCTATATATATATATATATATATAAATAAAGCACCTAGGTAAAAATTAATTTATTGTGAATACAAATTATTTACGTTGATTATTTACGTTGGAGAAAGGCGTGGGTGGAGGTGAATTATCACAAAAAACTTCAAATTTTGGCTCAAGCGCTGACGCCATTGTGATAAATAGCTTGAAATGAACGTTAATTTTAAAATGTGTCCGTAAGCGTCGCTTGTCCGCCGCTTGTGTTTGTTTCGTGTACAATAGCATGTGTTGCGCTAATTTTAATGCATAACTTTGTAAACTTAAAAGAAATTCATTTGTTTAACATTAGATGCTTACTGTACTCTTTTATGCGTATAATATTCTTGAAATCAATGTGTGCTGTTTATGTTGACTGTTTAACTTTGAAATGTCAAAGTTTCTAACCTCTAAACTTCTTTTTGATTATTTACGTTCTTTACTATGCCGTTTGACCATAAATAAATATATCTATTCATTTAAAATACTTAAATAGTGGAAGTAATTAAGTGTTAAAGATTTTTTAAATAAGCTTACGTGAAAATGACGTCTGAAAATCTTTCAAGTAATAAAGACTCGGATGATGATATGGAAATTGACAGTTATCAACAAGTTGTAAATTGTGAAAATGATGAGGAAGGTAGTTGGAGAGTATCTAAAGATATTTACATCCCACCACCTCCACAATTGTTTGGTGCATACGATGCAAAAGGTCCTCGATTAATGATAAACAGAATAGTAGCTAAGAATTTTAAGAGTTATGCTGGTACTATAGAAATTGGCCCTTTTCATAAGGTATATTATACAAATATAAAATATTTTCATTTGATCTATAAAGTATCGTTTGAAGCAATCAATTTACTTTTTTTTTTTTCATTTTATGTAGTATTTTTCATCGATAGTGGGTCCAAATGGTAATGGAAAAAGTAATGCAATAGACTCTATGCTTTTTGTATTTGGATATCGAGCTAATAAAATAAGATCAAAAAAGATAACCGAATTGATACATAATTCCAATGAACATCCAAATTGTAACAGTTGTACTGTTTCTGTTTATTTTCAGCAAATAATTGACAAGGTGGACTATATTACTTTAATATTTTAAATATATATATAAATCTACTTATTTTTATTAAGCAAATTAATTCTATTATTAACAGCATGGACAAGATTACGACGTTATAGCTAATAGTGAATTCTTCATATCAAGAACTGCATTTAAAGATGGTACAGCATTTTATGAAATTAATGGTAAAAAAGTCCAGTTTAAGCAAATTGCTCAAATTTTGCGATCTCATTGTATCGATTTAGATCACAATCGATTTTTAATTCTTCAGGTACAGTTGTTACTAATCTAATTATTTTACTTGTGGAATGATACTATAATATATACATGCACAAATGCATATATATACATTTATTTATTTTGCAGGGTGAAGTAGAGCAGATAGCTTTAATGAAACCTAAAGGTCAATCGGAAGGTGACACTGGTATGCTAGAATTTCTCGAAGATATTATTGGTACTAATCGCTACAAGGAGCCATTAGAAAAATTATTTCAGCGAGTGGAATTCCTATCAGAATTGCGTGAAAAAAAATTAAGACGCCTGAAAGTAATTGAAAAGGCAAAAGGAGAGTTAGAAAAGCCTATGCAAGAAGCTGTTCAATATTTAAAAGTAGAAAATAATATAATTAAGTTGCAACATAAATATTATCAATGCAAAAGGTACAATATTAAATATTTATTGAAAAATATTTCTTAAATAAAATAAATGAAAACATAATTATTTATTATAGGTATGAAAATTCTGAACAACTGGCTAAAGAAGAAAAAGTTCAGAGTGAATTGGTTGCAGATTATACAAAACTTACTGAAGAAATGAAAACTATTCATAAGAACAGAGATGAAAAAACGAAAGATTTCAAAGAAAAATCAAAAAAATGGGATAAGTTACAACAAGAAAAAGAAACACTTTCGGTCAAATTTGAAGAAATTAGAAAAAAAGATGAAGGACTTTTTGCTGAGTCAGTAGCAACAAACAAACGAAGAAAAGATAATATTAATACAGTAAAAGCGGTAAGTGAAAAATTAATTTCTTTTAAAATTTTCCTTTATATATAGATAAAAACATATTGATATATTATCCTCTTTATTCGCTATTTATTAGCATAATTTTAAACAATAAGTTTTATTGAATGTTAAGATATTGATTTTGATTTATAAACTAGGAAAAAAATAAATTAGAAGATTTACTAAGAGTGCCAGTGAAAAATTTGAAGGATATAGAGGAATGTGAGGATCTTCAGAACAAGTATATGGCTGACCGTGAAAAAGAAGAAGCAGCTTTAGTTACATTAATGAGCGGATTGAAAGAAAAGACTGAACCTCTTATGAAAAAACGTTCAAAATTGGAAAAGGAACTTGTATTAGAAAGGAAAAATGTAGATGAAGCTAAATCAGATTACGAAATTGCTAAATCACAATTAGATCTTTACACGTCTGAGGAACAAAATGAAAAAATGAAATTTAATAAATTACAAGAATCCTTTACAGCTAGTAGTGAAAGATTAGTTGAATGTAAAAAGAAACTTACAGCAATAGATACTAAAGTTCCAGCAACAGAAAAAAGCCTGCAACATGCACAAAAGGAGTTGGATGATCTTAAAGTTGTTGAGAACGAAGTAAATGAGCGTTTGCGAAATACTCGAATAAAATATGACGAACAAAAATCAGCTATGCAAGCTGGTAGATCTAGAAATCATATACTTAATTCACTTATGACGGAGAAAAGGGAAGGACGACTACCTGGTATTTTTGGTAGATTAGTAAGTAATTTTTTCTATAAACATAGTTATAGAAATAGTTTGATTAAAATAAATTTTATGTTTAAAAATAATTATTAAAATAATATCCGTAAAGTGTAAAGTAATAATATAATTTGTTTTAAGGGTGATCTTGGTGCAATTGACGTTAAATTTGATGTGGCCATATCGACAGCTTGCGGACCACTTGATAATATTGTTGTGGATACCGTCAATACAGCAACCGAGTGCATTAAGTTTCTTCGAGATAATGATATTGGCCGTGCCACCTTCATTGCCCTGGAGAAACAGCAACGATTTATCCGGCATTGTCAAGAAAAGATTCGTACCCCGGAAAATGTTCATCGTCTCTTTGACCTTATAAAGGTGGAAGACAAACGAGTTTTACCTGCATTTTATTATGCAATTCAAAATACTTTAGTTGCTAATGATTTAGACCAAGCAACTCGAATAGCTTATGGAGCTCGACGTCATCGAGTGGTTACATTAAAGGTAATAAAGACCTATAGAGCAATAAAATTTATCAAATTATTTATCATGAAAGTGATAATTCTTGATAATTTATAGTAATACGATTTTTCAAAATTCATTTTTCAGCATATAAAAAACTTTCTATTTATTAAAGTTTTTATAATTTTACTTTGTAAGTTATACATTTTAACTTAAGCATTTTATTCTATAGTTTTATAGCCAAATTAAAAATGTATATATATATATATATATATATATATATATATATATAAAGCTATTTCATTATTTTATTTAGAATTTTTTAATTTAATGCATTTATGAATTATGTGTACTTAACCAAAAAGTCAAATTATTTAAAAATCGATCAAAAAATTATTTACTGCAATATTAAACGAATTGTGAATACTTAATATAAATAGCTATTTTTTTTTTATTAAAAATAATGTTGGAATATTTATTCATAACTAAAAATAAAATAAATAAATATTTATTCATTTCTAAAAGTAATTTTTAGAAATCAATTGGTAAACAATAAAATTTATTATTTGTTTAACAAGGGTGAGTTAATTGAGTTGTCGGGTACGATGAGTGGCGGAGGTCGTCAAGTATCACGTGGTCGTATGGGTCAGAGGGTCGCTAGAAGTGAGCCGACAGTTGACGATATTGAGAAGCTACAGTTTAACTTAGATGAATTGTTCGGGCAGTACAATAAGGCAAAGGCTAAACAACAGCCACTAGAGAATCAGATACATACTTTGAGTACGGCTCTCAAGGACATGATCATCGACAAGGACAAATTAAAGGTTGAAATTAACCACTTAAATATGGAAATTCCGAACTTGTCTAAACAGCTTAAGGAACAAGAGAAGAAAGCTGCATCATCAATTTCCAATCCAGAAAAGGTTTACTTGATTATAAGTATTCTTTAGAGTAGAGATTACAAACGTTCGATATAGTAGTTTAAAATACAAATTTCTAAAGTATAAAATTGATTTGGTCATACCAAAACTTGATATTCATTTTCCTTAAAACTAATTATTTAATATTAGTTTGACATTAACCGTTCAAATTTACTTCTTTCATTTATTTGATCTTTGAAAAAAATTCTATTGAATTACAATAATGTCGATAACATATAATTTAGAAAATTATGATAATTATTAAAAGAAATTATATTTTTTGCAGTCAGATTTGAATTATAATAATGAATAATGGGGCTGTTAATGATGTATAAAAATCAATTCAAATTTTAGTTTACAAATGTTATTTATAATCTTATAAAATGTGAAAATACAACATAAAATTTTCATTTGCAGGTAAAACAGCTGTTAAAGATTGTTAAGAAAACTGAAGACAAGTTGAAAAGTGTTTCTGAAAATTCTAAGACAACGGAGAAAGAAGTAGATGCGATAAATCAAGAAATCGAAGAAATATCGGGTGGTCTCGTTAAAGACCAACAGAAAAAAATTTTGAGTTTGACTAGGTCTATTGACAAAATCAAAGGAGAAATTTGTAGGCTACAAGTTGCTATAAAAACATCCGAGAGAAATTCGAAAAAAACAGAGCAACGTATTGCAACATTAGAAGAGGATATAAAAAACTGTGAAAATAGAATTCGTGTTATTCAAACGGAAAAAGCAGAGTTTGAAGAAGTTGGTAAAGATTTAATAAGTAAAATAAAGCAATTAAATGAGGACTTGGCTGAAAAAGTTGAATTGGCTGACAAATTAAAAGCAGATTTGGAAAAATTACAATCTCGTGAAAGTAAAATGAAAGCTATAAAGATTGATTTGGATCAGAAATTAAATGATACGAATAAGGTAGTTAAGGAACTAAAGAATCGGATTCCAGAATTGACGAAATCTATTGAAAGTATGAAACTCCAAGAAATTCCTAACGAAGAAAACGAAGTACTAGAAGAATTGACGAAGGAAGATCTGGATGAAATAGACAGTAAGTCCATCACAAATTCAATTCAGAAGGCTAAAGAAAAATTACCGAAGGAGATACCGAACATGCAGATTATCGAGCAATTTAAAGAGCAAAATGACTTGTATATAAAAAGATCTGAAAAATTGCAAAAAATTACAGAAACAAGGAACAGTATGAGAGATACATATAATGTGGCAGTGCGTAAGAGAATGCAAGAGTTCAACACTGGTTTCAATTTAATTACTGGAAAGCTAAAGGAAATGTATAGAATGATTACATTAGGTGGTGATGCTGAATTAGAATTAGTAGATTCATTGGATCCATTTAGCGAAGGCATTGTATTTAGTGTTCGACCACCTAAAAAATCTTGGAAATATATTCAAAATCTGAGCGGCGGTGAAAAAACATTGAGTTCGTTGGCCTTGGTTTTTGCCTTACATCATTACAAACCGACGCCTATTTATTTTATGGATGAAATAGATGCGGCTCTAGATTTTAAAAACGTATCTATCGTTGCAAGCTATATTAAAGAGAGAACAAAAAACGCGCAATTCATTGTTATTTCTCATAGATCGGATATGTTTGAGCTCGCAGACTATCTCGTCGGTGTATACAAAATATTTAACTGTAGTAAATGCGCAGTCGTGGACGTTCGAAAGTTCAATTCGAAAGTCGGTATAAGCGAACAGAACAATAATAGCGGTAACTTGATCAGGTCGCAATTCTTATCACAACCAAATCCGATTATAAGTGCGCTCAATGCTAATAGTGAAAATAGAACCGATGCCGTACAATCTCGAACAGTCAATTTACCAGCTACTTGTCCGGAAAATATTAATAGGGAAACCGAAGGTGAAAGCAGCAATGAGAATAACAATCAAACGAATGAGAACGAAGACAGTTTTAATTTAAGGTACATAATTTATTAAATACATGAACTTTTAATTACTTTCATTATTTTCATAAATAATTTTGAAGATTACGAATTACGCGGTTATTTTCATATTATATTTTTTATAATACTAAAAATGGATTAAAAATTACTTAGATTAATGTGTTATATTTGATGGATTTTAAAAGTACTTTTCCATTTCTATCTTTACCGCGAATGAATGAAAAATTTTCTATTTATACATAATTTTAAATAAACCAACAAAAACTTCATAAATTTGTTAAAAAAAAAAAAACACCGAATGAATTATAATTTAATTACATAATAATAATATTTCTATTAATGCATTCATGTCAATATACATAATATAAATTTTGTTAAGAATTATAATTTATGATTATATATTTTGAAAAATTAAAATATATATATATATATATATATGATTTTATAGACTTGGGGACATTAGTCTTCCCTCAACACCAATCAAACGATCGTCAAGTAGCTCAGCAAAGAAGCAAAAGCCGGAAAAAAATATAACATTAAAAAAACGAAAATCTTTACGGAAAAGCAGTCAAAATGAATTACATCAGGTATCAGAATCTTCAGAAAATCATGAGGCGTCTGAAGAACATGCAACAGTCGAACCTGAAATAAAACTAAGGAGGACTCCTCGAAATATAAGGAAGGAAAAATTTGTAGAAGAGACAACAAGCCCAGGTGCTACTTTACGAAAACGTCGACGACAATAGAAGGTTAATTGCATAAAATTTCGTATTAAATTTTGAGAAAAGCATTACAAGTCTCAAATATTTTACGATTTTTAGTTAATAACTGTATAAAGCAATATTTTTTCTGATATTCATGTATCAAAGTAATTTAAGAAATAATATATAGTTGTAGATTCTTAATAGATTTTCAATCATTTTTAAGAAATAAAAATTTATAATTTTATTTTTGTCTATTTTTTGTAAAAAAAAAAAAAAAAAAATGCAATAAAAGTATATATTCTATCGAGTTTTTAATGTAAAAATTGAATTTGTAATTTTAATTTTTGTAAGATAATTTTTTCTTAATTTTTTTTTTTTTGTTTTATTTTAATGCTGTACTTATTTACAAATGATAAATATTTATACACGATGAATTAATCTAAAATTATGAAATTGTATTGAACAAATTAATATAAGATAACCTTCAAGTATTTTAAAAGTAAATTATTTATCAATAAACTAATTGAAACTACATGTGTAAAATGCAAGAACAATTTTTCTACATACCAATTGTTAAAAATAACCAAAGGTGAATGAATATTGATTTTTCTTAAGTTACCTTATGTAAAATATTGATTGTTAAATTTATTTAATTTCTTTTGTATGTTACATTTACAGTCAAGTGTTTTGAGATGAAATATTGAGCAAATACTGTATATATATATATATATATATATATACACTCTTAGATAAAAGTATACTTTAACATCACAATTATTGAAAATAGTTGAAATTAAAAGTATATTCTTAAATTATAATTTATATTTTATAAAGTATTCGTATTACAATAAATAGCTAACTTTAGAACTCGATAGTCTTTGAATCTATATTGTTTTGAAATTCACTAAACAAAAATTATAACACCGATAGTAATTTTGTATTCAAAGTGGAAGTCATTGAAATTGTCTGATACTAACTTAAAAATATTATTTGAAACAATGTGGTCAATAAAATGTGAGACGTTTATAAAATAATTATAACAATTTCTTATTTAAGCGTGAGTTCTCTTATGTTTTCGACAGTTATTAAAATTTTGACCAATCGCAATAGAAATATAATTAAATATTTAATATAATAATATAATATTATAATTTAATAAAAAAAAAAAAAAATTATAAATTCAAATAATACTCTATAATATGTATTATTGACGTTTCATACACTTGGTTTTGTTATAAAGGCTATGTAACTTTTTGCTACTTTCAATGAAGATTATATAATAAAGTTAGTAGAAACTCTAAATAAATATCTCGATATTTAATTAAAGTGTATGACCTAATTCAAGTGTAATGCCATTTTAATAATGATGTAATGTAATAACTGAATTTTTATAAGATTAAAAGCATTACCTGTGCGAATGGTAAAATTGAACTGTTTAAATTTGATCCAAATCTAAATATTTAAAGATCATATTTTTTCATAGATATTTTAGATTTATTAATTTTATTTTAAATTTTGTGAAAAAAATTTTTGAAGACAAGCAAATAAAATAAGTTTTTGAATAAGCATTATTGTATTCATGTCATCAAGATAATTATAAATTCATTTTTACATCTACCAGAGTTCCTATATGTATAAAATATGTAGTTATTCGACGTTAAGTGAATAATAATAAATATATCAACTGTTAAATTATTTCATAATATTTAGAAAATTCATAATAACATGTCAATAAACTCTGATCGCTAAAATCAATTTTAATTCTATTTTATTATATATATAATCGTATTTTATTCATTAAGCTTAGCAAATGCCGTTGTTCCTATATAGTTTTCATGGGATTTTAACTCCATCAAACAAAATCATCGAATTTAATCAATGATAATAAATATAACAAAATTTATTAATATACTGTTTTTTAATTTCTTAACAAGTTACATCGAGCCACGATATTTAGAATTTCTATAATTATCTCAATTAAAATAATGTGAGTACGAAATTAAACAATTGTTTTATCTGAAACGAGTAATTAAATCACTGACGTATTGTTGGTACAAATAGAATTTGATACATATAGAATTAGATATAATGATACAAATAGAATTGAAACATTAATTCTTAATACACATCAATTGTGCTATGGAGGTCTTCTTTTTTTTTTTTTTTTTTTTTTTTTTTTTTTTTTTTTTTTTTTTTTTTTTTGTAAGTTATTTGAAATGATTTGGTGAATTTTTTCAAACAAACGAAATAATTGATACATCTGGCTAGTCAAATTGCCATAAGAAATAGCTACTTATTGATCTTTCTTTTTTCTCTAATTTAAAATAATATTTTATAACGATTGAAATGGATTTATTAAAAAAATTTTTTGAAATTTAATTATATACATATTTCTTTTAATAAAATATAAATTATTTTTTTTATAATTCTTATAGATACACAAGCATTGTAGTCTCAGCTATCGTTTATTTTCAATTATAATTATTTTATTTAAATTTTTATTTTCTACAATATTTATTTATAAATTAAAATTATTCGATCGATTAATATAATTCAGAATAAATTTTGAGATAAAATCTCTTGTACTAGAAGTTGCTTAATACTTAAATTTATATACGTACTTTCTGAAAAAATAACACAATATTTAAAATTTTTCATTATGATTCATTCGATTTATACTACTGAATTTTTTTTACAAATTTTTACCTTATGGATACCATAAATGCTTTCTTATACTTAGATAAAGGACAATACATCTTGCCATGTATAATATAGTACTCCAATTGACAATGACTATACTTTTCAAATTATTTATTTTAGTCACAGTGATTAAATAAAAATAAATATACACGTGTCTTCATTTTTAATACTATTTTTTCTGTTTACTAAAAATCATCGCTATCAATTGATTTTTATTTCATATATCTCTATTTAATTAGCCTTATCTATCGATTTTTCTTTATAAATAATTTTTATGGCGATTATGATGAGAACTAACATGTTGATAATATGTTGATAATTTATTAACGAAATTATTAAATAATCAAATACTTACCCGAAACAGGAATTTTAGAGTAATGTGAACGAGGTAATAAAGATGAATTTTTTTTTCAAAAAATTCACAAAGATAATTTTTGTAATTGTCATTTCAACGAATTTTACATTTTAATTGTTACTGAAAGAATAAATTATATTTTTCTGAACAAACTTTTAATTATTTAATTTTTTACACAAGACGTTTTTGCACATTCTTCAAAATTTCGTTACTATTGCGTCAAGTCATTTAAAAATATATTTTTTTTCTCAACTATTTATTAATTTTTAAAAAATATTTAAAAAACTTTTTTTATTTTTCAATCTCATTGTGATGTAGTTTTAATATTTGTTAGATTCTTTTTTGCATATTATTTTATATCCGTTGCCTTCATATAAATTAATTTTCTCATTTTTATTTTATAATCTGGATTTTCTCTAATAGACACTGCTAATGTTTGATCGATTTATACACATTAGTTCATAAATAAAATTAAGGCTATTTTAATACGGTTGAAAAATTATTCCAAATGATTGGTTAAAAAAATCTTTAAATTCTATATTATTTTAAAGTAAGCTGTTTATAGTTACTGCTTAATTTATATTATTGTTACATATTTAAAAATGCCAAATAATTTAATATTCAACAAATTTTATATAAATTGAATAGGTACGAGAATGAGAAAAATATCGTGATGTTCAAAAATTCTTTATGATAGCTATGTAATTTATTTAGTAATTTACTTATACATGTCAGGAACAATTTTTTTTAGACAAATTATGAATAGAAATTAAGATATGTAATTTTAATGGTTAATATAATGTAAAATTATCTTAAATATAATTGTATAGTTCATATTAACAATTACGCATTTAATTAAATACATTTCTTTTTAATCGTTCTTAATATGTTTATCTACTACTCTGTAAATATGTTATAACTCAGGTTTGTATATCTTATACGAAGACATTAAATTAATTTATTAAATTATTATTTTATGTTTACAATTAAATATTTAAATATAAACATTCGGTACTGGCAGTTCGTAATAATAAACTAATATAGTTGCAATTATTCTATATAATATTTAGAGAATTAGTCAAACAATAAGGAAGGTTATATAATTTATTTATTATAATAGGTAGCATATACGAATATCGATAATATTGAATATTTAATAAGAATAAATAAAATGTTGAGGTACTTAAATATTGATTCAAATTATTATATAAAAGGATTGTTAATGCATTAATAAACTATTTTTATAAAGTATTCATCAAATGAAAATGATTTAATACATAAAATAATGATTTTTACTATTATTATTACGTTCGAACGGAGTTACTGTGGTTTATAACATATTTCTTAAATTTAAACAACTAAAGTAAAATATTTAGCAATATATTATATATAAAGATTATAATAATAACATAAATATAATTTTTGAAAAACGAATTGTAGTTAACTATATTGTAACGTATTAGCTTCCATTTAGATATAAAAACTGAAAAGTTTATTTTTAAAATTTAAAACTCTAAATTTACAATTACGGAATATAAAATATATATAATACATGTAAATAATTTACTTCAATTCTATCTTAATTATAATCCATAAAAATTTGATCGGAAAAATCTTTTTCAGGATACTTTTTATATTATTATCAATTAAAGTAAAATAACTACAAATATAGATTTTTTTTATTTTTCTATATTTTGTAATGGATTTTGATAATATTATTGTACGTGTATATTTTAGGGATAATTATGAAAACTATAATTTAGAAAATAAATTATACTAAAGTGCAAATTCTTCGACAATAGAATCGAAATTTATTTAAATATTATTTCGAATATATTTAAATAAATAATGATTATAACTATTATTTTATATTTATTTATTTAACTTTTAATTTTAACCATTGTAATTAATTGTAATTGATTAATAGCGCTTACAATTTTCTATATTATTCGATTCTTCGTGTGCAGAATAAATTTTTCATTTTAATTAAAACAAATTGTTATTTACTACTATTATTTTAATCATTATTTTATAATCTTTTTTAC